ATTGCGGTTAATCTTTATAAATATATTGAAAAAACGATGACCACGTATCCCAATAAGGCCGAAGTCATCAAAACGACAGCAGAAATATTTGGCACTTCCCAGCGCGCAATTTCCAACATTTTAAAAGAATATTAGAGTACTGGTAAAGTATCTGGTGGCAAGAAACAACAAGATTTTAAAATTGGTAGAAATTAAACCAATACCCAAAATAGGTATAAGGAAGATTGGTGTAAATGAGGGAGCGAAATGCGTGAGCCATGTTGTAAAAAGGAGGGATGAATAATGTACTCCGACGTTACTATTGATGACGCAACGACCGGCAAGACAACGTTATTTATTTTTATTATAATAAATGTAGGCTCAAATTCAGACTCTTCAGAGAAATCAGACTGATGAAGAAAGTATTTGAAGATTCTTGGCTAGGGTACTCCACTGTATTACCTGCAATAATACATATAATAATGTCATTGTAGTAAATAAATGTATTGATCATGTACGGGGGTCCGTTTTTCACAATACTTACTTCACCTTTTAAATGTTTCGCATTTTGCTGAAAGATCACAAAGATCAGAGTTTATCATAAATGAAACATTATATATTTTGATGTAGTAGTAGGTTTGTAACAATCAACAACCGTGAGGAAGAATTGCCCTTAACTTACATTCTTTACAGTCTTTAACTGATGTTAACTTTTGACCAATAAACGTAACTGTTTATAATCCATGAAACTTTTTTTATGTACTCTTTTACCACTTATCTTCACGATGGTCAATATATTCACTACAAACTGTAGATTATGAGTTCTTAATCCTGTATATCTATCATCACCCAGTGTCGAATCACATTTTTTTGTTAGCAATCAGAAGCGGAATGGCAAAAAATTATTGTTCCAATTGATTCAATCGAACAAATCGAATTATTCAATTAATTAAATTATTCGTAATTGGCAGGACAATTAGCCAACACCAAATCATCGGTGGTCGAGTCAATGACCTGTTTGTTTACCTTTCATGCAAAATGGATTAAAACGGATTATAGTCTATGTTTAATATAGATACTAATTGCGTGACGTCTTATTAAGATATTTTGGACAGGTTATAAAACTTTTATTAAGGTCTACCACGATCCAAGTTTGTCCAAGAAGTAGTTCTTCACTGACCCGACTGACGGTGTGTATAAGTTTATATTTTAAATAATAATATAATAATAATAATAACGCACACACTCAACATAGCCCCGCACTAGGGAAACCCTGTGTCGCGGGTGCCATGGACACACACATAGACAACCACAAATTACACCCAAACTCACGAGAGAAATAAATGTAGGCCATACACATATTTCTCCCGGCCCGGGAATCGAACCTGGGACCGCTGCGTGGCAGTCATAGTAACTGTTCAGCCACCGAGGCAGTTGATGAATGAATACTTCTATTTCGGATTTTCTTCTATATCTTTCTATTTTGGAATAGAAAGGAATTTGTTACATTATCGTTTGAGGCTCTATTTAAAATACTTATCCCGAAGTGACGTAGGTATTAAACATTGACACATGTTCAGAAGTTCGTTAAATTTACACTCAGGAAAAAAGTCTTGGTTAAATTGTAGTGTCAAGTTCAGACGCACATGATTACGTCTGAACTTGATTACTAATAAGTAATTCAATAACGCATCAAGAAATTGTAACTTTATGGTACGCCTGAACCATTGCCATTGGAGGCCGCGGACCACCTACTTTGTAAGCATTATTTGGAGGATATTAGATAAGTTCAAAATCAAAATTACTTTGTTTGATATGCATTACAATAAATAACTTTTATTTTTTAAATAGATCTCAAAAGTAGTAAGTTTTCGCTATATTCGTTACTTAACGATGGGTAAAACGCATATGTAAGCCCTCGTCAAAACGAATCATATAAGCCTAAACATAAGGTACATATTAATTTAATTCCTCACATCTGTCTGCTGTTACGTTTTGTTTTCATTGGAATTAAGTACATCTATATAGATTGGTGAAATTTAATAAACCGAATTCTTTCCCTAATTTGCCACCCTTAGATGTCGAATGTTTCCTTCAAATTTGAATGGGACCACTATTGAAGTACCTCCTTCCCAAAAAAGAATCCCAAGAATCATTGAAATCGGTTCACAAACGTCGGAGTAACCGCGTAACATATACCGCACCCTTAGTAATATAAGGGCACAATCCAAAAAAAGTAGATTTTTGGGAAATTTGGGAATTGATAGGGACTTAAATAATAAATGGGATCAAACTTATATAGCTCCATATTTCTGTTATATTTTTTGTACTATATGGGTCTAACTTGAAAGTGTTTTTTTAACTTGCTTGAAACTTATGGAATTTATTTATATTATTTTTTTTTATTGCTATTTATAATACATTTATCAAAGAACAAATCTGCCAAATTTCATATTTATAACTTAAATAATAAGCATGTTATTTGAAAAAATAGGTGTAATGTAGGAATCCAGAATCTTAATACGCGATTTCCCAAAAATCTACTTTTTTTGGATTGTGCCCTTATATTACTAAGGGTGCGATACGTATAAACAAAAAAATAAAGACGAATTAAGGAACTCCCTCCTTTTTAAAGTCGGTTAAAAACGCAAATTAACAATTAAACAAACATGTCATGTGACTAAGCTATAGAGGACTAAGAAGTGCCATCGTTGTTATTCAACCATAAATATTCCGCGTGGAAAGGGACATAAAAAACTAGGACTAATAATTAATAGTGAGTTAAAGTAACATAAATAATCAAATAAATGGTCATCATTAACAAAACAAAATAAAATCTAAAAAATTAAATCTTCATGGGAAGAATAAACCTTGTAACCAAGTTTGCTTTACCATCGACCTCGTCTGAACAGTCTAGATTCTAGTTAACTGTAATTCGTTTATGTAGGTGTCTATTTAAAAGAAAGAAACGTAAAATGACACGTAGGGTCGTATTCCAGAACTGTACTCAATGCTCAAGTCAGGATTTGAGCAGACTTGAGTATGATTTGAAGCACTGGAAATACGACCCTAATGGCAAGAACTTGAGTATGATTTTCAGTGCTCACTGCAATACTCAAGTCCTGACTTGATTATTGAGTAGAGTTCTGGAATACGACCCTCAGTGGCGTATATTTGTTTTCTCAAACAAACCATCGTTTCGGGCTCTTTACAAAAAAAAAAAAAAAAAAAAAAGGGGTAATTTTGTCTACCTGATTTTTGTGGTAATTTTTAATACTTAAGTATTCGAGTATATTATCGTGAAATATGTAATAATATTTCAGGATACTACACTCGAAAATTAAACCATATTTCAGGATAATATTCTAGAATATTCAAGTAATAAAAATTGCCACCGAAATTCGGTACAGGAAACTAGCCTGAAAATTACCCACAGGTCCCATGGTCACGGCTGACTCACGGAACATATAAATATAAATATACCTACTCGATTGATATCAATGTGTACAAATCGCAATACCTAAGAATTTGATGGGATATATATCGAACAATATTTCCACCAAAGTGGAAACGTATAATCGTCGGTTTGATACCGTGACATCTGCGATTTCCTGTATTTCGATGCAGGAAGGGGGTAATAATACTTGCAATACATGCACACACGCGACACTAATTATTCTATCGTCGAATTTGCACGTCGTCAATATTGATGGACGCGTCTGTGAAGTAAATTGTTATAGTAGTACAGCAACATTTCATAACACGATTGTAGCGAGTCGCAGCAGTCGTTACAAATCTTTTTGTCCATAATATTTATCTTTTTAGCAGTATATTTTTATATTGACATTCTAAATTTAAATGTACTTGTTTTTGGCGCCTTTTCTTTTTGTTATTGTCATTGTTTTCTATGTGTTTCGTTCGTATCTTTACTTTGTTGGTTTTAATAAAGTGTAAATACATTTGGTTTGTTCATGCTCACTATTCATTAGCACCCGACATCACACACACACAGTCCGCTACAACGTAATAAATTGTGAGTTATAAAAATTACCACCGAAATTAGGTAGAGAAAACTAACAAAGGTTATACGTAAAATTTGATATTTGCGCTCGCGTGTAACTTTTTGATTTCTCTACCTTTATTGTGTAGGTATGTTCTCCTCTACTATAACTTTTTCTACGCAACAACGATTATGATCTAGATGAAATGTTAGGAAAAAAATGTTATTCAACTGCAAATATTACCTAGTCATGCAATATGACACATAACTTCCGAATTTAACACGGTTCAACAAAAGCTGAGTTTAAACTCTGTCACTTATTTAATGTTTCTACTGAAACAATATTGTTGTTGTATATATATTGTATTTCCTTGACTCATTCGTCGACCCAATTACCTGGTGTGGGGGTTCTTACAGTTAACGGTTCTTTAGACATGTCAATATTAAAACAAAAATAAACAAAAATATTTGGGTTAATGTTTTCCATCGTTGATTGTATCACATTTCTCAATAAAACTCACTTGAAAATACAAACGATTTCAAAAGTTCGTTCAGTCCTATAAAAAATGGAAATTCCTTTTCTAGATTATTTTTTTTATAATACCAAAGCGACGGGACGAGCAAGTCGTGCGCCTGGCGGTAAGCTATACACCTATCCATAACAGTTGCAGTGCCATTCTGAGCTTTAAACCGCAAAGATCTTATGCGCCCGTCACCCTGAGACATAAGTTGACAAGTCCCATGTGCCGGTAATTTCACCAGCACCTTCACCCTTCAAAACCGGAACGCAGTAATGCTCACATTACTGCTTGGCTGCAGAAATGGGTCGCTGGCAGTACTTCCCTGGACGAACTCTTTCACATAGAGCCCTACTGCTACTAAAAATTAATCTAGATTATATTCTGTATAAGGTTTAAAACTAAGCGTTTTATTAGAAATACATTGAGTATACTAACAAATGTTAAAGAACATGTACATTTGCTCTTAAGAACGCGTAAAAAAATCGTAATTCGGTTTTCAGGTATCTGAAATGCGTGAACGAACATATGCGCGATATCCAGCCGTTCGAGGACGTACCCAACAAGCTGTCAGTGCAGCTGAGAAGAGCCTTCGTTGCCACACGCACCTTTCATAAAGCTTTAAGATCTGGCGCTGATGTCGTGAAAAATATGATGCAGGTAAGATGTTCGGCTCATTGGCACTAGCACAGAAGAAAAAGCAAGTGGCTGTTTTGGTGGACAAATTAAGTTACCAAGATCTTAAGATTTCTTTCTGTAAGGCATTCAGAACGACGACAAATTTGTTGCTCACATCAGATAGGCACCATTATCGTGCGATCTTGTTCATCAGCAATTAAAACTGTCGAAGTCATAAAAGATACGCGTGCAAAATCCACCTACGTGCAGACTACCGAAATGGAGACCGCGTTAGATGGTACAACAATTTAATTGGATGCTTGAATTTCGAAACGATTAGAGACAACTACCACATATAGCGCGATAATTATGTAATTCCGCAACAGGTTAATAAAAGCCAATAAAGCTTCAATGTAAAAAACAATTGTTCGCTTATTTCGTCAACGATAAACGCCAAAAATGGTCCTGACTCACCATCAACTTTAATAATCCAATCGCCACTTGTTCGTTTGTAATTTTGGCTATTGTAATGGCAGGTAGCCCAAACCCATATTTATCGGCCAACGTGCATAATCACCGATTTAAATGCAAAGTTATTATAATAAATTAAATCTATATGCCGACGGGTATCGGCCTTGAGGTCGAGAAGCTGACATCAACGCTACTAAGTGAGTCATTATTGCCCGCGAGACAATTCAAAGAGCATTGATCCCTAGGCGCCGTCGGGATGACACATCGAACAACCCGGGAATGTTGCGAAACAAGCCCAAGTTGATCCGCAACAGTTGTTATCCATATATTGCTGATTCAAACTACCAGCTACTACTTCACATGGACAACCGAAATTAACGGACCAAATGTCTGGAACCAAATTAGGCCAGACGATTTAACATTGTCCTATAAACATCTCTTGCCACTGAAACATTTATTACTATTTGGTTGCTCGAATAATTAATTTTAATTGCTGATTGTTTTATTAAGAATGATCTCATGACGGTCTACAGAACTGGAGTCGTGATTAAATAAGGCAATTCAAACGTATTAAAGTCAATTGTCAAGTTAGTAGTTAGTTATTGAGGTAACAAGTAGAATACAGAATGAAGCTAGATCCATGCATGTTGGATTTGTCGCGTAATTTACATAATCCAACAATAGCAATGAATGATGATGAATCCACGTAGTTCACGCTACAAATCACAGTTGTGAATACATTATTTAACTCAAGATATCTTCAGATACAAAAAATATGTGTTTATGAAACGACAAAGGGTTTATCTTTTCAGTAAAAAAAAATCTAAATATACTTTATCAATAGGTACGTATTATGATTGAATTTTGTTCCCGTTTTGACCTATTATCCTCTCAGGTCGTCATTTCTAAATCTTTCACATAAAATATAGATAATTTGACTCCGATATAAATTTTACAGGTGGGAGTAACCCAGGAGTGTGTAACAGCATGGGCTAGACTGCGGTATTGCGGTACTTGTTCAGGTTATGCCCCACCAGCATGCAGTCGATATTGTCACAATGTCATCAGAGGATGTCTCCCAACACACGCGGACTTGGGAGAACAATGGGACGCTTATGTTGGTGAGTACAAAATTCTTTTGGATATCGGCCAAGTACAATCAACCTTTGTTGATCTCAAATGAACCGTATTAAACATTATTTGTGCCAAAAATCAGAAACAAACGTGATTTATTTTATACCTGTTTTATGCTTTTATAGATGCCGTAGAAAAAGTAGCTGACAGACTGTTAGGACCGTTCAACATAGCTATGGTAGTCGAGCCCATTGACATCAAAATCTCCGAAGCCATCATGAGCTTCCAAGAACACAACCAAGAAATTTCCCAGAAAATCTTCGCTGGTTGCGGCAAACCCGTGCTTGGAGGCGGCGGCGGTGCTGGACCCTTTTTCTCACCGGACAGGGCCCGCAGATCTGTAAAAGCTATACCTGATTTCGACTGGAAAGAAAAAGCGAACGAGGACGACTTTGAAATTGAAGCTTCATTCGAGAGTTTATTAAACGATGACCCGTTGCTGTTGAAAATGCGGACGCCTGAAGGTATACGAAAGGCGACAGAAGAAATGTCGGAACATGCTAAGAGGAGAGAAATCTTCTTGCAATACATGCGAGGTGCAATTGACCTAAATGAGTTGGAACAACACATAAGGCCCAAGAGGGATGCCGACCCTGAGCCAGCAGGCGGTTCTGATATAGACTTCAGAGCTTATGAGTTTGATGGCAAAAGAGGGGGAGCAAAGAAGAAAAAACCCGTTGTGAAGAATGATGATGGACGCGGTAAGTTACATTGTCCGTTAGGACTTTTATTTAGTCTGCAACGTTTTTCTGTCGTGTCGTCTGCATGATAAATCACCTAACGCCACTTGTAACGTTACAAATAAGTACGAAAAAATGTCTGGAAATCGGAAAGATGAAGGAGTAAAATGGACTATGTGAAAAAAATTTGGCCTATCGACAATTTTCCTTATTGAACCGCTTCAAAATAAAAGACGCTTCTTTTTCCTCAGGCGCAGAATGGGGCGGTCCAGCTCTGGAGCGTCTGGTCCGCGAAACGCGGTCAAGGCTGCGAAGCTCGAGACGCTACTGGAGTCAACTGCCCGCGTCGCTCTGCACCTCGAGCAGCGTGACCACCTCGCCCTGCTTCAACGGCACGGATGTGGCTCCGTAAGTGTCCCTCGAGCGTTCCCTCCGCGACCGCAAGGCGCAGGCCGGATCAGTAAGAGGATGCGCGTGCGCAGGTACGCGCCCGGGCCGGCGGGCGAGGGCAGCGCGGCGCTGGCGTCCAACCCCGAGGTGCGCACGTCGGGCGCCGTGGGCAGCGGCGCGGCGCGCGCGCAGCAGGACGCGCTGCGCACGCTCACGGCGCGGCTCAAGGACGCCTTCAACGGCGTCGAGGTGCAGTGGAAGGATGCAGGTCAGTCGGCGCTGTCCCCGTCCCTGCTCCCTTTGTTCGCGTCAATTTCGTTTAATTTCTTTTTTTATTAAAAAATACGTGCGCATTTGGCTTCCATCTCGCCTGATGGGAAGTGACGATGAAGTCGACGATGGAGCGTGCACACCTAAATAATGCCTATACACTCTCGTCTTGAAACAACCGAGTTACACCACTCCATTGCCGTGCGTGGGATGTGGAAACGAAACGCTTAGTACGAATCCTTGGAATACCCACAACGTAGGGGTGGAACTCCAGCCTCCGTTTGGTCCCCCGATAGTTGATAAAATCGTGCAATTCCTTCGCATATTCTCCGTGATACATCCTATAGAATACCAATAAGGCAGGCAACTATACGGCGGTGTTCAAGGCTCTGCAGCTTCACCCTTATTGATTCCGAAGCTATTCAACTGTTCATCTTCTTCTTGGCCTGTCGACTCTGACGTTTTATTCGTGAGGACCAGTACTTAGCTTTTTAACTTAATTTTTAATTTGATATATATCATATTTACTTTCAAGTGATAAAGGCATTTTTGACGTATGGTCACATGTTGCTTTATTACACCAAGGTCACGAATTGCAATTGGTTGGCGTAGATTTACGGATTATAGTGTTCAGCGATAATGGCGTTTAGCCATTACCAAGATGTATTTCCGAACCTACTTCACAGTCATCTTTTGCCGCAGTTCCTCTTCTGCAAACCGCTCCTGTATTACCATTTTTTATTTCCGCAGATGACCTTCAACCGGCGTCTTCTAATCTGGATTTCATCGGCGTTGATGGTTCAGGCTCTGGGTCTGGCGACGACACTGATGACGATGACCTGCCTGATGACGACGAGGACAGGGTTTTATATCCAGAAGGTATAACTCACACCTCTTTGAACCCATTAAAACGTATTTACAGGGTTTTTAAACTTTCTTTACCTAATTATCTCATCTCGATATATCTTTTTCACCTCCCACACTTTTTTTTTATGGTATTAGGGGACGGAACGAACGGGGAAAGAATATAAGTTTTTAAGAATATGTCTGTAGATCTACGCACATTGCAACACTGATGGCAACACTGCTTTAGACTTAAGAGCCTTGGCAACACTGGTATGTGATGTAACAGTAGAGCTCCCTGTGAAAGGGTTCATCCAGGGAAGTACTGCCACCTTACCTATTTCTGCCGACAAGCAGTAATGTGAGCATTACTTACTGCGTTCCGATTTTGAAGGGTAAGGGGTGCTGGTGAAATTACAGACACATGGGGCTTTTGCCCCTCACATCTTTGCGTTTTAAAGCTCTGGGGAGCACTGCAACAGTTATGGACAGGCGTATCGCGTACCACCAGGTGCACGACTTGTACGTCCCATTCTTAATATCATAAAAAAAACTAAACTACATTACGTAATCATGTAACTTAAAAACATACTTTTTTCCAGGCTCAGGCGACATCTCACCAGATGTTGATCAACCAATCGAACCAGAAGTTGAGAATCAGACACCAGCACCCGACCCGGCCTTTATTCCTGGCGTTGTCGATTCGCCTAACTTGAACAACGTCCGAATCACAGGCAGACGAGGTGAAGAGCCCAATGAACCAGTCGACATTGACACTCCTGTTGCTACAAACCCTAACAACAATGGAGGTCAAACGACGCCGGATAGAGTGCAGCCTGTGGCAGGCTCAGCGAACCAACTGTCGCTACAGAAAGCATTGTTCACGTACGCTCTGCCGGTTGTATGCGCGTGGTTCGGCACGATAGTCACTGATCTATTTTAAGTAGACAATTTTGGCTTTTGGTAACGTCTCATTTCTCCAACTGGTGAGAATTTTATACCGTTTTACAAACTATAGCTCTTTCAGTTTATTTAAACTAAGATTTTTGAGATACATGTGACTAAAACTAAAAACCTGAAAATGATTTTAAGTTAATTGAATGTCCCGATGTTCTACTACCATGATATTCAATTATTTTTGTGACATCACTCCACTAGTTTGTTATAATTATTAATAACAAAGATCGAACACTTAGAAAAATGATTATAACAAACCGAGAAAATAATGTCTAAAGAAATGAAATTAAAAAATATCTACTTTTTCGTGCGGTAAATGTGTTATCTTATCCACCTATGAAAAAATCAAAATAGTATACATAACACTTTTCCTGGGAAAAACTCACATCCGCCCTTTCAATTAACTGCGACAGTATACATCAGTCAAATCAATAGAAAGTTATGAACAATGAAAATGGGACGTTTCTCAAGCCAACATTTTGGAAGTAGATAGCCTAGTCAGAGAGCGACGGCCGTGGTAGGTGAGTTATAGCGTGAACAAGCTACTGTGATATAAAATGTGTGGACTACGAAGATAGAACAATAGTCTGTGGACTTCTAACAAATTAATACACAGTGAATTGTGTAGAGAATTAATTATTTGATTAATTTGCATAATTCGCAACTTTTTGAGTTATACGCTTTTGTCATCGCATCAAGAGTGAACGACAATAATTGCGAACTTCTTTTTTTTCTCGGCAATGGATTTAAGTTATTAGGCCGCAATATTTTTTTTAATTAAAAGGGATATAATTTAGAAGAATCAGCCAAATTTTTGTATTTATTTAATTAATGATCTTATGTTGTAAATATAAATTTGTAAATTATATCTAGATAGTGAATGTTTGTTCAGCAAATACACGAATGTTGGTATAACGATGACGTAGTAGGGGCAATTTGATTTGTTTTACTATGTTTCGTTCGAAAACAATCCGATTGTAAAATTATTTTTGTGTAAATATTATTTGTTATTTTAAAACGTGAATTCGTGATACGTTTAGCAATTGTTAAAATGTAAATAAAACTTAGCGTAATTTGAAACGTAATTTAAGAGACTGATTTGCTTTCGATTAATTTTTTTTTATAATTTGAACTAATTTTTAACCGACTGATATAACAATTAGTTCTTTTTTAAACTTTATTTACGTGTATTTTCGTCGATGTTGGCTTCAGCTTTATTTTGCTAGTGATTTTCATCATTTAACTTGCACTGTATGATTACACTGCATTGCAAATTAAGTGACCAAACATTAGAAATAATTTAAGATGCACCATTGCATACTACTTTTAAATTGAAACTATAAACATTGGAAATTAAAATGTACGGGAAAAGTTGTCGATCAAATTTTTACATAAACTTTTCTAAGGCGCCCGTTCTTTACGCATTGGCAAAAAACCACAGGTCGAAACATTTTTGGATTCATATATTTTAGTAAAAAAAAAACAAATATTATGTACAGTCGAGGTCCCTGACCTACTAGCCGACTTTTTGGTCCTGAGAGCCTTCTTACGCGTTCAACAGTAAAAACTTGGTTGAAATTTATGTTTATGTATGTATTTTAGATCAAATTGACTTAAAAAGTTTATAAAACGTCATTCAATGCAATAATGAAGACATATGAAAATGCATTTTACGGCTCACGTGTTAAATGTTAAGTTTGTTTAACACCTTTCTTAAAACTGAAATATTCTATAAATAGTCGGTTAAAGGGTTAGGCATCTCAGGGCGTTAACTGTACACGACCATAACTCTCAATAGGATAAATATATTTCAAAAAAATAATTAAAAATGAGTTTTGGAGACAAAATTGTGCAAGATGCGGGACCAAAAATTAAGTATATAAATGATCACTATGAATTCGTGCCATTTACAAATTATGTCCTGTGAAACACTCACCAATTTTTGTTTGATTTTTTTATCAATAAATAATTATGTAGTATTAACTTAAAATGTAAACGGATTGTTTCAATGACATTTTTATTACTCTACGTGTACATTTTTTATAATTTTAAATAATAACTACCTATTATTACATGTAAGCATTATATGCAGCAACTCTATAAATGAGAAGGAGGTTCCTTCTGGTTACATAACGTAAACGTAAATCCTAAAACTTGTATATCTGATTGCAGTCTAAAGGTATTAAATAATTTCGTGTCCACTTAAATTTGTCACTAAGTGTGAGTTCAAGCATTGGAACAGTCCGTGTAAACTTGTAAATAATGATTAACTTTTATATCAAGTTAGTAGCGGAAATGTTTGAAAGATCTAAGGACTTCTCCTAGTCGATGAATGCTTGTAACTTCAGAGGTAATTTTATTATGGTTGACAGTCTATCAAGGCAAATGGCCACTTCAATTGGAGCTGTGCTGTCACCGCACATGGCTCTTTAGTACTGCAAATATCCAGTGTATCTTGACCTCGCACGTTATATGCATTTATAACTAGAAGAGAGCCAATACTTAATGTTGCTAGAAAAGTTAGTTTTATACAGTTAGAAGGGATGTGTTACAGGGTACCGAATCATATACTGCCAATGTGGTTTTAATAGAAAGTTCACTTGAAAGGTATATTTTACTTAAGATAACTGGTATAGGTACTTCTTTAAAAATTAGAAAAAAATTCTTGTCACGTCTTTGATTCATTCAATTTGTATTCTTATAGGAGCCTTCACATTAGACGCTTATAGATGCGCTACAGTGGACCCTTTGATATTTAAAAGCGCAGCTGCAGCGCTACTGTCGTGACAAGCGCGCGCCACTTTTGCAGTCACAATTAGTGAACTAAAAATTACTGAAGTGATACAGCGGAGCGGCTGCCGCGTCATCGCTTCTTTAAGCGTCTAATGTGAAGGTGCCCTTTGGCTTAACATGTTCAGTGCGGCATATTATTATGACTTGTAGCTGCCTAGTTAAAACACACCTGGGTAAGGCAAAAAAACGCATTGATTTTAAAATAAAATGTACCTTTTAAATGCAACGTGCAACAATGAACTTACAGTCACACGTCTATCGGGATATCTAGTCAGCGAGACTCGACTGTTGCATAATAACGACTTATCACTCGTGTGACGTAGCAACATTCGTAGGGATATTTATTTGGACAAGTGGCAGTTGGCTTTTATTTTTGACGCAGAAAGCTCTATTAAATAAAGGCTTGATCAGTTAAATTCGATACGCGCCGTTATCCACGGCAGGCGAGTAGTGGAGATCTAGTTTCGACAGATTTATGGCACCAGGCAGTGAGTTGAGAGCGCACTGTTTCAAAATGTGGACGCCCTTTATGATTCCTGTAATAGGTTGTGTTCCATTTGAGAAAAATATAAACGTAAGTCAACGTTTAAGTCAATGGAACGGTGTTAAGGCCAGGCCTTAATAAGCGCTAATTTTAGTACATAATTAAAAAGCTCTGCGAGAAAGTGGCGGGATATCGGATTGCAGAAGCGCCAAAAAAGTGATCAGCTTGCTACGAAACCTGTTGCAGTTGACACTGATAAATGCATGAAATATAGGATTAAATTTTACTTAAAATGGCGCTTTACCATCCTCTGGCGGTATGAAAAAAAACAAATATTGCAATTTTTTTTTATATATTAAAATAGGTCAGCGACCTCTTGTCCAGCTAATAATGAATGGTAGTGTAATGGATTTTATATATAGATATATGATTACGTTAGGCGTAAATTTTGTGTACATAAATAAAACTAAAACATGGGTAAAATTAGTTCTTTTATTTAACAAAAAATAAATAAATCCTTAGATTAAGGTATACAGAACTTGACAAGCTTAAATAAATTCTATCACATTCATTATAAATATTAAACAAAAAATAATTAATCATTTTTTGGCCTATCAATACACACATTGTTTCTTGTTACTGGTTATCGGAAAAGGTCTAGTATAAAAAACTTCAAGTAATACATATAGAAAGGATAATACTGTCCCTGTGAAATTCCGGGGTGATTAAAGACAAGTCAAAAAAATTTAAATAACTTATATTTCTTTCTTCCTCTGTGTACTTATAGGCGGTGCCCTTTTGGAATTGCGCCAGTATCAAATATTCCGCTAAATAATTATATGGGTTACAGTAGGTTATGCAATTCAACAAGTTTTGTGGAGGTATTTTTTAATTTTGGTGTTACAGATCTGTAGGCTACTTACTTACTCCTCTGGCTCAGCGACCCAAAACATGTCTGAGCCTCCGAAACGAGATGACGCAACTTTCTTCGGTTCTGTGCAATCTCTCGCCAATTAATGGCTTGTAATTCGGGCAGATTCGCCTCCACGGCGTCGGTCCAGCGATACCTGTGTCGACCAACCGGTCTTCGTCTAGTAGGTCGACCCAGATAGGCTCTCTTCACGTTCCGATCCTCCTCCGATATTTTGTGTAGAGCTGCACTACATCGTAGGGTGTACTTGATGCGGATGTCTATATCCTCTTCCCTAGAGTTGGTATCTGTTATAGTGCAGCCTAGATGCTTAAACTTGGCCCACACCTTTGAAGACGTCATCTCCAACATACTGCCGTCCGTTCAGAGATGGGAAAAACTGCTTTTTTTTTAAACGTGTATATATATATATATTAAGTTTAATGATAATGCAGCTATACACCGCACCGTCAGGGTAAGTTCCTATAAGTCGAACATATGAACTAATTTTAACTGTTTTTAAAACAGAATTTTGTGCTCTATCTTACGATATTTAAAACGGATATTTGACATTTGTCACTCAGCCAAAGGAATGGAATGCTCTAATATGTATTTCCCGAAAAGTACAATTTGGGGCTATTCAAGGCTAGAGTGAATGGGCATTTTTTAGGCAAACGCGTCCCATCGTCGGTCACATCGTCGCTTAACATCAGGTGAGATTGTGGCCAAGCGTGTGTCTATTATATATTTAAAAAAAAAAAAAAAAGAAAAGCCGCGTTTTTTTAGTGGACGGCAGCATAAAGGTCTACACGAGTTTGGCGAATGTTTCTAAATCGCTTCATGTGGAGGTATTCCGTTTTCAATCATGGGGCCTACCTTTTTTGCTTCGGAGTCCAGGGTTTCCATAGACTGAACCACATCACTCGTTGATTCAAACAGAAGAGCCAAATCGTCAGCATATCCTATTACCTTATGTACTCAATTCAATTCTAGGCGAGACTGCGAATTCATCAGTGACAACCTGAACCATATCTACCAGGCTAACAAATACAATATATTATTTAGCACCCCATCAATTATCAGATAATTACGTCGGCTTAGTGCAAGAAGTCATTAATTGCCTATGATTTACATGATAATAATGATTAAATAGAAAAGAATAATGACTTCTTGCAAATAAGGCGACGATTTATTGACCTATTGACGAAACCCAGTGCTGATCTGTAGGTTGCAAATTTGACTATTTCACGTGAAATATGTAAACCTATAAAATGAATAAATTAACTTAGAAAAAAGAAAATATGGAATTATCACATTATCTGATAAATGATAACTAGTGGTCGAAAAGGCTCGAGCCTTTTAGCCCTTTTTTAAGACTCGCCGCTTTATAGCGATGGCTAGAAGGCTAAAAAGCTAAATAACTCTCAAGCCCTCGAGGCTAATTGTATTTATCGCTTTTGCTAGCCGTCAAAAAGGCTCAAGCCTTGTAGCCCTAAATGTAAAGCTTGCGAGTCTTTTTTAAAGGCGGACTCACAAAACAGTAGTTCTAAAATGGCTCACTAAAAAAGGGCTTGAGGCTTTTTTTAGGCCTAGGCTTTTTTAAAGCCTTTTTAGAATAGTGGCGTCGTGGCGTAGTGGTTAGTAATCCTGACTGCTAATCCAGAGGTCGTGGGTTCGATTCCCACCGAGGACAAATGTTTGTGTAATGAACATGATAATTTGTTCTGTGTCTATAAATGTATATGTTTGTTTATCGGTTGTCTAGTATCCATAACACAAGCTTTAGTTTGCTTACTTTGGGACTAGATAGCGTTGTGTGAATATGTAGTGACATATTTATTATTATCCATTTATTATTATTAATATTGTAGCCATCACTATAAAGCGGTGAGTCTTAAAAAAAGGCTAAAAAGCTCGAGCCTTTTTGACCGCTAACGCCAGTCTTCTAAAAAGGCTTTAAAAAAAGCCTCGGCCTAAAAAAGCCTCAAACCCTTTTATAGTGAGCAATTTTAGAACTACTGATTTGTGAGTCCGCCTTTAAAAATGGCTCGCAAGCTTTAAATTTAGTTCTAAAAGGCTCGAGCCTTTTCGAACTCTTTTGTGAGTCCGCCTTTAAAAAAGACTCGCAAGCTTTAAATTTAGGGCTAAAAGGCTCGAGCCTTTTCGACCACTAATGATAACTGATCCGAGTGCTAAATAAGACAAATGCGAATTATAATCTTATGGAATTGTTGGATTTATAATCATAAATATCAATGGTAAAATGGAAATTAACATACTTTAAAGTTGATTTAAAAGTGGGTTTGGTTACATAATACTTGGGGCAGTTGAAAATTTGTATTTCTGTAGCGAACCAAACGTAACTTGCACCAAACATACCAAATGTAATTTGGTGATTGAACGAAATCAATTTTACCCACTATTTATATTGTGGTAACACTGCTTTGCTAACTTGTTATTTTGGCACTAACGAGACGACAGTAAGATCAACGACAACGGCGGCAACCGAGTACACTTCAGTTTAGTTAAGACTAAAGTTGTGACTGTGTAAGTGAATGTACAATGAGAGAGAAACAACTGGTAAGTCCTTCTAATGTATTGTTTAACATTACGACATGCACAGACACGGTGGAAAGATACGGAACTAACATTAATGTCGTGTTTAAAATTGTAACCATAAACCAATAACCCAAGAAGACAGCTAATATGGAGATACTACAGATCGTAACTATTGAGAAGGTCAAAATTCCATGTCATATCTAAAAATGGCGCTGATCAATAGTCTAGTTTATATTCAATAACCTACAAAGTGGCGATAATTTCCACTTATTCTTATAAAACTTTTCTTCTAAACACACTGCCCCATACCGTAGTAAAAGTATAGTCTGTATTTTTAGAAGATGGAGGAAAAAGACAGTTCATTGAGCAAAAGTGTTGCCCGCTTTCGAGTAACTAGTGATAGCTGTCGATAAAAATTCTATCGACTATGGACTGAATATCGACCCTCGACCTATTACTGAGCCCAATTTCATTCTAATTGTCAATTTTTGTAAGTTCACACATACATGCTCTGTATTTAGAACTATGTTTATAGTAAATATAAAGTAGATACATATTTTAAAGTTTTTCATTTTAATTCCATACAGATAACTGTATCCGCCTGTACTTGTTAGAATGTATGTGAATAAAAATTGATCTCGATACTAAGGCATTCACGCAATTAGTAATAATTGGAGCGTCGTGACATTGACAATGATTACAATAATTTTTGTCAAAATTTTATATTCTTTCATAATCTATCGATAAAACTATCGACAACAAGTACGAACAACAGCTTATCAGACGTCACATTTTTGTTCGAAAATCGCCTCCAGTGCAACGGAACAAGATAAGTCATTGTGTAGCTTGATGTGCTGCTGACTGTACATAACTAAATACTAATACTCATAGATGGCGCTACGGCTAAAAAGTTCTTGAAAAACCAAATACAAAAATACGACGCAAGCACATAGAAAAATTCGTGAGATCCGCAGGTTCGTTCCGTGGCCTAATTTTACAAAAAAATAATTAAATATCAATCCAATCAAAATTTTAATACAATGAATAGCGACATATCTAGCCGGAACTGGTAGCTGTAAAGGTATCTAACTGGGTGACGAAATAATTTCTCATAGATGGCGCTACGGCTAAAAGTCGGTGTAAAACCAAATACAAAGATACGATGCAAGCACATGAAAAATTCGTGAGATCCGCTAGTTCGTTCCGTGGCTTAGTTGGTATAGCGTCTGGCACGGTATGCTAGAAGACGTCGGTTCGAATCCGGCCGGATCGAAGGATTTTTTCTGAGTGTTCGATCCTTGTATTAATAATTACGTACATAACTATTCAAAATTTTATGAAAACAGGCAACCCAACAAATGTCATTTTACTCCATCTTCAAAAAAGACAGACTATAGTTACTATAGCTACACATCAAAAATATAGAAAAAATACAATACAACAATTCTAAGGGGTCATTCTGAGTGCAGGCGCGGGTCTTCGCTTCTTCCCTTTAACAGCGCCGAAGCGGCTACGAGCGAGCGGGTAGAATCACAAGTCGAAATCGCAAACAGACGCTAGACGCCAGACCAAACACTGCGAACGCAGCTGGCGTCTACGTGCATTTGATTTACACGCATCCGCGCCCGCCGCCACTATAGGGCCTTTTCAGATGAACAGCTAGCAGTAAAGCTCCTTGTGAAAGAGTTACTTTCATCTGTTTACTGCTAATTACTGCCACCTTACCTATTTCTGTCGCCAAGCAGTAATGTGAACAAGTGGTACAATTGGCGGTAAGCGACGCACCTGCCCATAACAGTTGCAATGCCACTCAGAGCTTCTGAGGGGCACTGCTCCTGCGCCCGTCATCCTGAGACATAAGTTGACAAGTCCCATGCCTGTAATTTTAATAACACCCTTACACTTCAAAACCGAAACGCAGTAATGCTCACATTACTGCTTGGCGGCAGAAGTAGGTATGATATAGGTAACATCCAATCGCCCAGAATGCGATAATACTACAACAAATTACAACGACTTCTTTTTGAATGAGAATCATATTATTGACACGCTTACGTTACACCATGAACAAATAGCTCGAGAAGATTGCTAATCTCCAGAACGCAATTCTGAAAAAGGTGAAAATTGCGCTTTTTCTTTTTTTATAACATCAAGTGAAGGGACGAACAAATCGTGCATCTGATGGCAAGCTACACGCCTGTCCTGTCCTGTATATGCCTGTCGTTTTATGTCTAGACGGCGCTGCTCAATAATTAGAATAGAACTAGTTTATATTAGTTAAATGGAATGGAAATCAATTAATTTCTCTTTAATAATAAATATGAAGTCAGTTTTTTTGTAATATTATTCAAATATTGACCATGAGCTAAAATAATCAATTTCTGAACTTTGACAAATATGCGTGTCAATAGAGGGCACTAATCCTAAACAAAATAAAAGAATATAATAACATCTAGTTGATTTGTTTGTTACCACTAGGAATTAGAGTAACTCTGATAAATCGTAGTTCGATATTTACAAATTAGTTCCAAAAATAGCTATTTGGTTCTCGTCACGACATCAGGGGGCCTACCACAACCTCTTAAAACAATATTACTTTAACCTTATATAGACTTTTCGTACCATGATACGCTTAAAGTAAGCTTATCATAATGTTAAAACTATGATGTTTTATTGACAGCTTTGTGACTATTCATTTACTCAGTACACTATGACGCAACTTTGACAGTAAAGTAATATTGCTCTTATGTCAAATTTAGTAATCTTAAAATAGTTATTCGAACGCAGTGGAAACAATGTTATTTTCGAATTTATTGTCTAAATATTGATTTGTAATTATTAAAGGTTAAATTGAAATTATTTATTTACATAAATGTCTTCAATATTTTTTTTTATTTAATAGTGCATATCAAATCATTTTAAACAAAAATACGCGATGTTTTGTTCATAAAATTATGACAGCGACAACTTAGCTCCTTGGCGACACTAACAGTTGTCTAATTAAACTATAATTCCGAATTCACAACGTGACAATCAAGACTCAGCTCGTTTTATTTATTTTTCTTCGTGAAAATGCCATAAAAATAATTGAAAACGACGTAATTTTAGCAGATTTTATTATTACATACTTTTCTTTTTTTAACAGTTAAAATTTTCTGAATGTAAATAACATTAAGTACTTAAACATTATACTACGATAAGACGATTCGGAACATCAAAAAAGAAAGACATGGCATTATATAGTCCATACAGCGTTATGTCTTTCCTATTTTTAGTAAGGAATAGACAATGTTAGGAAAGCATTTGTTCTTTCAATCACTATAGCAATAATACATTACTTGGTTGAAAGGTTTGTCATAGTACAAATATAAGTAATATTTTAATAAGCTAACTTTAAGCTTACATTGAAATAAGATTGTTTTTTGAAAGGTTATAGTAGGCGCCATGGTGTACCAATAGGTACTAAATACCCGAATACGATGTCTTGAACCGTGATTAGTCGTCCTCTTGAATTATCGGTCCATGTTATACTCACAAATGCACTTTATATATAACATATAAACTTTCTCTCCATCTGCCTAAACGCATCTGGCGAATTTGCCACACTTACACTAGTCACACGTGTCACTTCCATTAGTCACACCATCTCTGTGACATACCAATGATGGAAGTGTTAACACTTTTGACACAAATGTATGCCAAGGCAATTATTCCTCGTCGTCTTCTGAGTCCTCGCTATCCGATTCTTCAGAGCCGTCTTCATCTTCAGAGTCAGTGCCCAGCCAATCCGGCAGTTTTGGCTGTTCAGATATTGTCTTCCATTCGTTTGTTTTGTGCAAATCTGAAATTTAAAGATATTTATACAAAGGTTTAAAATAGAATGTCTTAATTTGAAATCTACAGCGGCATTGACGGAACGGCAACAAAGGCTAAATTGTGTATCTTCATCTAAATGGGATACAGAAGGAAGTTTATTTCGTTAAAAAAACTTGATATCGAATTTTCAATATGATTCGATTTCTTAACGGATTTTCAATTTTCATATTTATAACGGATTTTCAATTTTCATATTTACTGTCACGCAGATGTCCCAGGTTCGATTCCCGGGCCGAGGGAAATATTTGTATAGCCTACATTTATTTCTCCCGTGAGTTTGGGTGTAATTTGTGGTTGTCTATGTGTGTCCAAGGCACCAGCGACACAGGGTTTCCCTAGTACGGGGCTATGTTGAGTGTGTGCAAAATGTATATAATGTGAATTTATTAACCACAGGGCTTCCGTTGAAAATTTTTGCAGGTTCTGTGTAGTACTTAAAGAGAAATATCTGCTATTAAAAATATGTGCAAAGTTAGATACTTTATTCTTATATAATTCATTTTTAGTTTTATTTTAGTCTGTTTTCAGGGTTTTATATGATCAGACGAAGTACACTCTTTAGACAATATCCTTAGTTGTGTTGTACATTTTTTGTAAGGTAATTACTCGTATTTAAAAGCAAATACCTAAATTATTTGATCAAGCAAAACAGCTTTACCCTCTTCTCCGTCCGGTTCGACGACCTGCCTTAAATAAAAAGAGTCAGACGCAGTGCAATCTTTCATGATAATAAACTATTCTAAAGAAAACGAATCCTTACCCAAACTATACATATCGCTGAGATAGAACTGTTTCTCGTCCTTTTCCAAAACGCCGCCGTACACGAACAGCGTGGAGCGCTGCACGGCGAGCATGGCCGACATCCGTGGCCCTGGTCCCCCTTTCGGAGCCACCGGCGGGGGCTCTGCGACGGACACTGTCGACTGAGTGGGGCCACTGCCAAGTTTCATTGTGAACACTTCGTCTGTTACCACTGAAAAATGTAAGTTGTAATTATTACTATAAACAAACATAAACATTGTTCTACATCAGAATATTTTAAAAATACAGGCATTTCAAGTATTTTGTAGCTTAAAAGGTTCTGCAAGACAGGTAATGTGAATAATGATTACCATAGTGAACACTAATGCCATAAAATCAAGGTTCAAAATAAAATAGTTGTGGTTTACTTTCACCAAAATAAAAAAAATCACCAAAAAAGAAGCAAGGATTAAAACAAAAATTTAGTTTCAGTGATTTCGTTATAGGCTTTTCAGTGTATGCAAAATTGAATGTTCAATTTTGCAATGAATGTTCAAAAAAAAACTATGAGTCTAAGAAAAAAAAATCTACTTCTGTGGCTTCAATGAAAGAGCTGATGTTTTTTTTTACCTCTATCTCATCTGATGGTGATGTACACCTAATAATGCCTATTTACTTTAGCCTTGAAAAGGCCAAGTTATACCGTTCAGGGAATGAATCTGCAGGCACTCCATAGACATTCAAAATATAAATGCGATAACGTAACGCTTCGTATGAACACCATAAGAGTGGACTCCTAGCCTACGTCTAGTCAGCCGACGACAGAAAGGGGATGGTGGAATGATATCGTGTAAATAAAAAAAAAATAAGGTTATACATAGGAAGTGAAACTATTTTTCCGGATTTAAATCGCGTATATTTGTTTTTCCAAACAAACCGACGTTTCGGCCCCTTTACAGGTACTTTGGTCACGGTTGACGGTTTGTTTGAAAAATAAATATACGCGATTTATGTGTAACAATCGCGAAAACCTAAGAACTCGATATAAGGTTATAATTGTTAATACAAAGATCGAACACTAAGAAAAAATTCCTTCGATCCGGCCGGATCATGCCAACTAGCATTGCGTCTGTCACGGTTTGCTAGAAGACGTCGGTCCGAATCCGGCCGGATCGAAGGAATTTTTTCTGAGTGTTCGATCTTTGTATTAATAATTATAACAAACTAGTGGAGTAATTTAACAAAAATAATTGAATATGATGGTGGTGAAACATACTCATATTCAATAAAACACTTAATAATTAAAAGGTGTTAAACAAAACACCTCTCGTTAAAGCACTGGTTGATGGTGGCAACATCAAGAGACTGAAATGACAGCACGTGTTCGATGATTAGGAGAGGCTGAAGCAGTGCATTCCTCGCACTCAAACGCCAAAAATCACTTAAACAATTTAATTACAGTCTGGTGACTGATTGTAACTAACAAAAATAATAAATTTAAAAAATAAAACTTATTTGAAATTTATGATTTGTATTAACGTTCAGCTAGGGGAATGACTTCTTAAATAATTTAATAAAAGTGTTTGATTATCTCTATAACATAAAATGTATACTCAGCCAATTTATCTAGAAATACAAACTTACTGTTACATATTACAACTATAAATTTGAACACTATGCAAATGGAGTAAGGTACGGTTAACAAAAGTTTGTATATCTGTTAGCACCGTACCTGTAACAGCCTCTTCCTTTTTATCCTCATCTATGGTGTCTTCAACGCGCGTGGTGGTGGTATTTCGGGGTTGTTCGCTCTTCAAGGTCACATTGTGCCACTTGCACGTTTCAAGGTCAAGGTGTTGGAGTTCATCGCTCATTTCACCACGAAGATCTTCCTCTGTTTCTTCCACGTCCTGCGGGAAAATGTTTTATAAAAACCTAATGCCATGGGAGAAGAACAAAACTACAGAAATTAGGTCGAGAGTTAATTAATCCATTTTTCTAATCGTGATAAGGTAAAAAAAGGTGAAAAGGTTAATAGTTTTCGAAATATAAATAATTTATAGATTTTAAGACTTTCGTCGTTATTCACTAAATGATTATCACTAATATCAGGTTTCTTACCACGGTATGACTTCTTTTTATTTTCCCAGTCAACCCGTGACCATGGAGCGTGCAACCGTTCCGAAATATCGGGAAAACAAAAAGAAGTCATACCGTGGTAAGAAACCTGATATTAGTGATAATCATTTGTAGAAATAATTTGAAAAAAATAACCTTAAAACATTGACTTACAATTATATGGACGTCGGGACCGCGCTAAAAAGTGTCCGCACTTGTAAGGCGCTAAAATCGTATACAGAGCGCGACACTCCGCTTTAGTCTTCATTTGTTCTACGGACAGCGCGATACTGCACTGATATAACAATTTAAATTTCGAATAGGTTGACTTGGGACATTTTTTTCGTGGTTTTTGTATTAGACCCGTCGTCCATTTATTTGTAAGTCAATGCCTTAAAATCTTATATTTTGGCACTAAATGCACAGGGAACGGGGTTGAAAAGTTAGAAGGCAGGGGTAGGGGCGTATATCATTCGTTTCTGCCAAGAAGGACTTCCACGTTTGTATAAAATTTCAAAGCTGGTTTCCTTGTAGTCAAAGCTTAATTAAAAAGATACTAAAAAAAATTTCACGACGGCTATTTAGTTTCGTAAACTATAAAATGAATTACTACTTAATTCAAATAAACGTTATTGTATTAATTTTATTTTCAAATAAGGGTTTAAAACAATTGCGTCATCATATTTATTGCATTAAAAAAATAATTTATTTGAAAGTTTAAACAACACGCGATATCATGACTTTGGAATAGCAAAACAAAATTTATGGAACAATTTTTGCAATAGCTATGTAATGCTTTTTTGCTTTTTTATTTTTACAATTATCAAAAATTTGTTGTTCTCTAAAACCGGCGGCACTCGAGCAGCCGAGTCAACAACAATCGGCCTAATCGACAAATCTGGTTAAAAACGATCACATCAAGCCGATTCCGCGTTAATAAGTTTGAAGACTCCATTATTACACATTTTCACCTAGTCACAAGTAGCTCGTCCAAGGTGGTACTGCCACCTTATTTATTTTTGCCGCCAAGCTGTAATGTTAGCATTACTGTGTTCCGGTTTTGAAGGGTAAAGGTGCCGGTGAAATTACAGGCACATGGAACTTGTCAACTTATGTCTCAGAGAGCGGGCGCGTTGGCAGTGCCCCTTAGATCTTTGCCATTTAAATCTCTGAGTGGCACTGCAACTGTTATGGACAGGCGTGTAGCTTACCATCAGGTGCACGACTTGTTCGTCCAGTCACTTATTATTAAAAAAGAAAAGCTTTACTGCTGCTAATAGGTGTATATGTAACAGCGTTTAACAGCGTGCAGTTATGCGTCCAGTGGAATAGCGTGGCGTCGTTAGTAAGCGTTCAAGCTGGTACAGTTAAGTGTTTAAGGGTCGTATTCCAGAATTCTACTCAATACTCAAGTCAGGACTTGAGTATTGCAGTGAGCACTGAAAATCATACTCAAGTTCTTGCCATTAGGGTCATATTTACAGTGCTTGAAATCATACTCAAGTCTGCTCAAATCCTGACTTAAGCATTGAGTAGAGTTCTGGTATACGACCCTAAATGCATTGAAGTGTTTTCGATAAATCATTTTAGCGTCGGAGATCAATGGTTGCTCAATAATTTACGGCCTTATGACTTTCTTTATATAGGAAAGTATTTATACTTACACTGACTCCACCGAACACATATCCCCTTCCGCTGTGTACATTAACGGCTGCAGCCTGTCCGGCCCTGGCGGGGGGCGCTAAAAGCCCGCCCGTCTGCGACCGCCACGTCCAATTGTCGCCCTTCGCTACCAGCTTAAACATGTCTGTGTGCGTGTATGTGCGTTCAGTTCTTCCCTCGCGCATACGGGAGAAGCCGCCGTAAATTATTAACTGGAAAAAGAAAATAGGGATTGAACATTATTATATAGCCATTTCACCTTACGTGTGAGGTGTTACAGACAAGATCGGAAGAGTTCTCAGGCGTGCATCTATCAAGACCTATTTCAAGCCCCTGAGGAAGATTTCTCAGTTCCTGAGAACCGTGACATGTAACATCCCCTTACAGGATGCAGGAGTTTACAAGCTTGACTGTGAGTGCGGTCTCTCTTATATTGGATAAACGAAGCAAAGTATTTGTACCCGCGTCAAAGAACATATAGCTGATGTCAAACACCGTCGCGTAAACAAGTCTGCAGTCTGCGAGCATGTCATGGATAAACCTACACATTCAATGAAGTTTGACAAACCCCAGGTCCTTGCATAAGAAGTCCGTTATCTACACAGGATGCTGCGAGAGGCCATTGAAACTAAAAAAATATCCTAATTTCACCAGGGAAGATGGTTTCTCGGTACCACCAGTTTGGGATCCAGTATTTCCTCTGATGAAAAATCCCAAACAGACATACGGCTGCAGTACTAATTAATATGTTTTAATTTATTCTAATTTTCATTATTAATTCTATAACATAATTAGTCGGTTTGTTTGAAAACACAAATATACGCGATTTAAATCCGGAAAAATAGTTTCATTTCCTAAATATTATATAGGCTAAAAAACTAACGAACGAAGTATTTTAAAATTTTCCTAAGAAATTGAATGCATGGTTCCGCGATTACTACACAATGGAAATTATACTACTATTAAACGAACCAACGTTTCGGACGGGACGAACAAGTCGTGCACTTGGTAGTAAGCGACACGCCTATTCATAACAGTTATAGTGTCACTCACAGTTATAAATCGCAAAAATCTCAAAGGCACTGGCCATTGCGCCATAAGACATAAGTTCGCAAGTCTCACGTGCCTGTAATTTTACCATACACACAGACACTGGCTTCAAACGTATAATTCTCCTTTTTTTAACGCAACGTAAGATTTCAACATCAAATAGGACTCAAGGACACATTTTGAAACAGCATTTTCAAGCCATAAATAATAGTACCTGCCATATGATTATTTATGAATACGTAGCTATTATGACTCTTCTCTAAAGTAATCACCAATGGTCGGAAAAAGGTGTTCCAAAACTATAGATACATGTATAGATACAGCTACAAGGAGTGACATAGATTTGTTAAAACCACAAAATATTAATTAATTACTATTTCGAATGTTTTAAGACGTGTTGTTCTTAGCGAATGAATCGCTGACAGGTATGTTGCCGTTCTGTCAATGTGACCGTCAATATGCGGGACGTGGTGCTGTATATAAATTCAATTCAAATATTTTTATTCAAATAACCAGACTCATAATGTATTAGTAAGTACATAAAAAAAATTATCCTCGGGTAACATTTTAAAATTTGATAACATATTTTGGGGCATGAAGCCCACAGCAGTTTCTAATGTAGGAGCAGTCAACCCTGTCCCCTATCGCATTGAGAGCGGAGTTGGGGCTGAGACGCACGCTAATCTAGGGAGGGGCGGAGAGTCACTCTCGTTGCTTTTTTATTCTCTGCTTTAGTAAAAGATCATCTATTGCATTTTTTACATGGTACGTACCATTAAAATAACTTTAAAATGAAACTTTGATTTCCCAAGTCTCAAATTCGGAATTCGAAAAAAGAATTAATTAATATTTCATGGTTTTAACAACTCTGTGTCACTCCTTGTAGCTATATCTTTACAGTCAAGTATCCATTGATTTGGAATACTTTTTACTGACTCTAATGACACAAAGAAACAGTAGGAATGTCCAATACACGAACTTACCGAATCATTCCCGACCGGCAACATAACGCAAGCAGATCTAGCACTAGGTCCTCGACCACTGGGGGACAACTTGGTCCACGTCCTCGTGTCCAGACAGAACGTGTATAGGTCGTCAAAGTATTTGCACTCGCGGCCGTCGTCCGCGTAACCGCCAAAGACGAATAGTTTCCGGCCGAGAAGGGCCATGCGGTGACCTGAGCGGGGGGACGGCCCGTTTGGAGACACCACCTGGAAATATTACAATATCAGCACCACGGGATTTTATTATCATTGTTACCCTCCTTTTCATAACCATGGACCAAGACAGCGCAGTCGGGTATTTAGTGCCTAGTGGTGCACCAGATGTCGCGACGAGTACCAAACAGCTATTTTCCCATTGAATATATGTATAACCAAAAATAGAGACGACATAAGGGCCATCCATCCCTGGCAACTCATCAGGCAAATGGGCCTTATATCACGTTTCTAAAATTTACATTGTACAGCGCCAACAACTGGCCTGAGTGTATGTCTCCGTATATTCCAAAAATATTCTGTATTTATTGTAATGAAGATAATATCTCTAACTATTCCATTCGGTGGTGTGAGAAAAACAGCAAAACATCTAATTACAAAACAAACGGAATCACATTTCATCGGTAATTAAATATGTAATTTTTCAATTTTCGTCCATTATAGCAAAGCTCAATTTAAACTGGTCGATTTGAAATGAAACAATTGATGACACCCGTCAATTGTTTCGAATTCGGGCTAGCCAATCGGATTGCAGTTGTCACCGCAATGATTTGGCAGAATAGTTTTCAAACAAATTAAATGACATTTCGTCTCTATATCTGATTATATACTCCTTGTATTTTTCCAACTAATTTGCTTTACATTGACAAACTGCAATTTATCAAAGCTACTCTAATTCCTAGTAACAACAAATAAATCAACTAGATGACGCTTATTACACAGATTTTATTGGATAGTGCCGGCTATTCTTTTATTTTGTTTAGGATTAGAATTTTAAGAATTTCGAGCATCATATTGTTGCAAAAGTTTGAATGGTATCTAACTTGCAATTCGAATACACAATTTCTGGAAGTTCCTACAAATTGAGCGGACTTCGAGAAACTCGACTTGAGATTTTAGGATTCGGGCAAAATCTAAACTGGTGAAACAGACAATAGTCACGTACGTATAAAAATCGATTTACCGATTATGGCGCCACTCAGGGCAGACTCGAAGATTTCATTTTCATGACATCAAGTGACGGGACGAACAAGTCGTGCGCCTGGTGGTAAGAGACACGCCCGTTCATAGCAATTGCAGTGCCATTGCGCCCGTCAACGTGAGACATAAGTTGATAAGTCTCATGTGCCTGTAACTTCACCAGGCACCCTTGCTCTTCAAAACCGGAATGCAGTAAAGCCTTACATTACTTTACAAGGATAGTCACAGATTTACCTATTATATTTCTACGTAGCGAAAACATTGCCGGAAGTAAAAAAATCGTTTTCAACCAATTCTGAATTGGTATTCGCGCGTTTGTACCAACGACATTTTTTCTGTCGACTTTTATTCTTGTAAAGGTACATACATACCTTCTCCCATTTTTTGTCAGTAAGAGAGAAGCACCAAAGGTCTTTGTAATGATGAAACTGTGTTTCTGTAGGGCTCGTGAACTCGCCGCCAAATACCCACAGCTCACCTCTGGAAGGCAAACAATAACATTAAAAACGCATTTGCCCGTCTGTAGACATTACGAAGAAATATGAAAAAGGCACTGATGACGTCATCACACCTGATGCATCCAATACTCACAAATGCAGATTGGATGAAAAGTACGTACATATTATTGGTAAAAATGTTTCAACAGAGCGATTCAACATCATTACTTCGTTATTTCAGTGGCTACGGCATTCAATTTTGCTCAGTACGCATTAATTTAAGTTGTCTGTGGAATGATAACTATAGAATCCCATAAAACGAGCTAATTTGTTTGGTACGACAGTTATGCGTATTTGATTTGGTCACTAATTTACTGAAATGGAAACTTATAATCCAATGCTAGTTACACGTTATATCGAATAGTACTTTCGGGATCAGGTTTGCCGGGTGGTTATATTTCTTGCATTTTCAAAACTTTTGATAATCTAGCGTAATAGGTACCTAAGAGACTTTTGTTTTTAAATGCAAAAATATTTGTTATTGTAAATTGTAAAAATTTACGAACGCATCCATATTAGACAATAAGCTAACGCAGGGATGGCGCTAACGAAATAAAAATCTATCAATTCCAACTTGATTTTTTTGAGATTAGCTAAGTTTTTTTAGTATTTAGGCGTCCAATGTGGCCTAATGTTATTACGTGATCATTTTAACCAATGGAAGGCTTGGTGTTTTATATATAACACAATTTAGGATATTCTGAATGCAGTTCTTTAACATTAGAAAAATAACTACTATTTGTTTTTGTTGAAAATAATGATTGGACGCATTGTTCATGTGTTTGGTGTTTTTGGTCTGGAAATTAATTGTTTCATTTGCCTGTATTTCTGTTTTCGTTAATAATGATGGTGTGTCTACTACAAACTTTCTGTTAAAATTTGTTGAAGAATTCCACTTTCCACCATATTATAATTTAAATTTGTGTTAAGGGTTACAAGCCCATTCAAGGCCTATGCATCCCCTCATCAATGCGACCATTGACTGATCTATTGTGATCACCACGAATTATTGAAGAACTGAAGGACTTTCCTGGCTCTGACAGATTTAATGTCCTCTGGTTGTGGCATGTGCCTTCTCAGCACTTACTTAGGATTGTAAGTCAGGATTAAGGTAGGTTTACTATGTTTATTTCCTAATATGTATATCTGGGAAATATTTAAAGACTCTCCTCTTTTTGGGGTTTGAATTATAAAACATACTTGTTAGCCTGGGTGGCAACAGCTTGGTGTGCGCTGCGTGGAGGCGGTCCGCTTGGCGCCTTCACTTGGCGCCAAGTGTTCTTTACGGGATCGAAGAATAACAATTCATTATACACTATTGTCTGAAAATATAAGAAGAACCCAATTCAAACATCTACAAAAACGAAGCAAGACCACTGGCGAATACCAGATAGCATTAAATTATCTGAATGGTCAAATCAACAACAGCAATTAACACTACGCTAACTCCAAAATTGATTATTACTCATGTATTAATGTGATTACTACTTTTTGTATTACTTTCTTAATTTTGAACTTAATTTCAATTAGCTGAATAATTTTTACATTAAAAACGCAAAATCGCCAATATTCGAAAAATTAATAGCAATTATGCGCACCCCAAAAGTTTGTCATGTTATATAAATAAAATATTGTATAAAAATGTTTTTTCCAGTGCAATTCGCTAAAATCACCTCAGTGTCAATGAATTTACAGTATTCAATCAGTATTAGTAGCAGTAGAGCTCCATGTGAAAGAATTCGTTCAGGGAAGTGCTACCACCTTATCTATTTCTGCCACCAAGCAGTAATGTGAGCAGTATTGTGTTCAGGTTTAGAAGGCAAGGGCGCTGGTGCAATTACAGGCGCATGGGACTTGTCAACTTATGTCTCAGAGTGACGGGTGCAGTGGCAGTGCCCTTCAGATCTTTGCGATTTAAAGCTCTGAGTGGCACTGCATCTGTTATAGACAAGCATGTAGCTTACCATCAGGTGCACAACCAGTATGTCCCGTCCCTTGATATCATAAAAAAAATACTATTGTGACTTCAAACTGATCTCAGTACAGATAAAAGTGACCGCTTTGGGTGCATATAGTGCATTATTCTCATAAGGACAGATTCTCAATAGGACGGATTCTCAAGAAGACGGATTCTCATGAAGACAGATTCTCAAAAGAACAGCAGTACACGTAAGGAGAAAAAGAGAAAAAAATAGAGATAAAATTATTTTAATAACTTGTCAATTGTCGTCGTCAAAACGTCTTAGTATCGCAAGGCGTTGCAAACACTCAAAGACCGATATTTCACTCCGTACACATTCAGATACAATCAGTAGTGATGCTTCAGATTAGTTTGAGTATGTTATATGTTGATCAGATCCCAAAGTAAGTAATGAAAGCATTTGTGTCATAGAAATCGAAAATAACGTCAATAGCACAAACACCCAGACCCGAGACAATATAGAAAAGCTAGTTTTCTCCACATTGACCTGGCTGGAGATCGTATCTAGTGTGTCAGAGATAGTGACATCATGAAAACTGGTGTGCAAGCCACTTAACTACGAAGGTCATCTGTCTCCATCACATTGTGGACTGTGTGTGTGTATATACTTAAGGCATGTCGGAGTCTCTTATTATTTTAAAAGTAAAAAATCACTAGTAAAATAAGTCTGTTCTTGACTTACTTAATTAAAATCATTGCAGAAGTTATAAATTAGTTAGATACATAGAGTGAAGTTACACATACAGTTTGTCCATCATGATATTCCCCTCCAAACATGACCAACTCATTGTTCATCGGATGTGGAGTAAGAGACGCATATGCTCTGGGCGAAGGAGGTCCTTCCAGGGCCTTCTCTATCGCCGCTGACCGCTTAGCCTCTTCATGTTCGATCTCTGCTATAACTTTTGCTATATCTTCCTAAAATTCATACAAAAATGGTTTTCAATCAAATTACTGGCTGTAATTGCAATAAAATGAGATACCAAGATTGAAGGTGGGCTTGACTTGACTCGCACAATACATATGGCTGAATAATGAACAAGACAAAAACTACAGCATGGATCTTTATATACTTCCAATCTCAAATGGAATGAAAATATGAAAAATCACATGATGAATAGTAGGTATTTGGTTATGTACATTATAAGGACAGCTAAAGAACAGAAGGTTCTTGGATTTTTGTTAAAGCAGAATTCGTACAGTTATTTTGAACAATATACATTGCACAAATGTAACTTTGTAGACTAACGATCTCGTAAGGATAACAGGAAGAAGCAGTTTGTGAGAACTCACAGAGCTAAGGGAATGATGTGCTTTAGAGACGACCATACTTATTGACATTTATATGAAGAATGGGCTCAATTTATTGGGCTCTTTCCATTTTTTGTGGTCTCTGGAGACCTGCGCTATGTAGAAGGGTGCATATTGGTTGAGAAATATAGTATTACGAAGAACATGTATGAACTAACCTCTCCCAAGTTAGCGAGTTCTTTCTTTAGTTTATTCGCTAACTTCTTTTCTGTCTTGGCAGCAGTTTTCACAGCACCGCTAACTTTGTTCTTATTCTTCTTTTTACCCATGTTTTAATTAATAAATCACGATAATTTTAACTTTACTAAAGAATCAAAATAAAGTGCCAAACATAGATCATACACCAATACACTGCACAAACTAAATACACTGTGCCAAATTTTTTTTTTTATTTAGTAAGGCTTTGGCAAAGCCATCATCCTAAACATGAAGTTTATGTTTAGGCTTTGGCAAAGCCATTAGCCTAAACATGAAGTTTATGTTTCTGTAAATATGGCCGCCACAAAGAGGATAGGCAATTTGAGGCGGCGTGCTTGGATTGACTCGGGATTCCTTAAAACGGGCCGATACGGGTATTTTAGTTCGAGATTCGTATAATTTCGCGTTTTAATCTTCGATTAAGGCACAATAGCACTATCCTATTCCACTTTAAACTAGATTTCACAAAATAATTGAAAGTCAAAATAAAAACGACACTTTTCCCTCCAAAAGGTCCAGAGCGAATCACTGTGCCAAACTTGTATGAAATAGTTAAATTGAACAATTACTATTTGAAACGACATTTAAGAAAGAGATAGCTGTGTCCAAAGAAATGAGAAGATGGAAAAAAAATAAAGGAAAGAAATTATTCATTTGTGCATTCATCTTAAAACTAGCATGAGCTTTTGTCTGACAAAAAAGCGCTCTTATTAACGCTACGTTTTGTTTTTGCATATTAACGTGTAGGTATGTGATTTTTTTCTTATCATGTTGCGCAGCCCCAGAGATCTTTTCTGTCTGCTCGACGGAAAATATAATTATTAGAATATGTATTCGAAACGACTTGCATTTCACAGTAACGTACCTTTAACTTTTTAAGTACCCACTACCCACCCACATAATATATTGAAAGGAAAAATGTGTTCATTTATTCAACAATTTTAATGTAGTTAATACTCAAATACATCAATTTCATTTTTGTACATTAAATCTAAGTACCAAACACTTTAATTATGATTTAATATCTCAATGTTATCCTAGAAGCAACAGCATTTCTCTAGAAACGGATATTAGAATAGCACAGGACAACTATAAGTGGCAATAACCTATTTATTAACATATTTACAGTGTTTGAGAAGACACATAGGTGTTAATAGGAGTCTACGTTTCGAATATTAAGGCCTTTTATTACACCACTGTGAAAAGTCACCACTGGAAAGTGTATTAACTGGTTTACATGGATAGTCTAATAGACCTTACAAGGACATCCGCTTTGAGCAATGAGACCCGCGCAAGTGTTCTTTTATGATAGACTGGTTGACTAAAAAATCAGAACAAAGATCAGATGGAGCTGACCCCCACGCCGTTCCTAGGAATGGAACCCGTGTGGGTGTCAACTTGAACTGGTCATATTCTTGATTTGTTGAACAAGCATTATCTTGAAACCCGCTAGCGGAACTATATAGTTTCATGGAGCGGTCAATATTATACCCGTCTTTTATAGTAATCTGGAACACATCAGGGCTTGTTTACGAAGGCTGTGAACATGTTAATACACAGTGGACGGTCACCACTCAGTTGCCAACAAACATCTTATCTTTTTTTAATAGAAGGAAAATCTTGAGTGAGAATATTAACTAACACAAGATCGAAAAATATAAGTTATTTTGTTCTATTACAAAGCTAGTTTTGATTATAATATTCATTTATAAATTATGATGCCAAGATCAAGTATATAGTACGAATACATGTCAAGAAACATTTGTAATCAATCACCTTTACTCTGATTTGATGAAATTCGTCTATGACGTCGTTTTCTTATGAAATTATAGGTGAGCACAAACATATTTTTGATGTTTGTATGCTTGATTTTTTTTTTGCTACTTTTTTATCAAAGGAATATAGTTTCTTTCAATAATGACCTACTGGTAGTATTTTCTTATTTTCCATTGAAAGTCGAAGAGTAATTCATATAAAGCTAAGTTTTCTTATTCCAGTAGGCATTGCAGTTCAACTTCAATGCTAGTCATAAAGTACAAACACATTTTCATTCATTCTTTCAGTCACTCGTTCCAGCTTGCCAATGAAAAGCCAATTCTGGTTTATTATGATAGTGGGATCAGTATCATAACAACTATATTATCTTCAAAATTACCTGTTCAGCATAAGGACTAGATCGCAAAACGATCACCTCTGCTGAAAGACAATAAGTTACAATAACTTGGTAGCAAAACGACTAGATATCGAAATGACCATATCGTTAAATTGACGACGTGGTAAAACAACAATGTACAGTTTAGTCAAAAATTTGTTGTTCAAAAAATACGAATAAAAATAAAATTATGAATATAAATGATAATAAACTTATAAACTTGGTTCCATTTTATACTATAAATTGTACTTAATATTGGAAATATTTTTGAGAAATGTAATACCAGTCTTCTTATGGTTCGTATGGCTAAAGCATCTATTATTTTCAAACGCTTCCAGCTCGTAGTCTCTCCGGAACTCCCTATCTGTCGGATCAGTATATGAAACAGCACTCGCTGTGCAAACAGACTAACATCACTCGAATGAGAACTTTATTTGTAGCTTTGACATGGAGATGTTTGCCGTGTTGATTCATAGCCAATTTGTAACAAGCTGTTCGATATATTGTTAACAGAACCCACTGATTGGATTGGCACAGGAACTTTTCATATTTAAACATCAAACTTATATTAAAAAATATTTATACATCAAAATACTTTTAAAGAACTCAGTACCTATGGCGAATTTCGTAGACACAGTTTTATGAGTCGATAGAACTCGAAAATTATGTAGGATACCGTTAAAAACTCAAAATCGTAAAAATGGAGTTACAGTGTTATGCTTCTCACGTACGGATTTGTAGTTTTGTTTTTTTAGGCTACCACGGCCAACCTTGCCTAATAAAAATTATTGTAAAATAAAATCATAATCCTAATAATATAATATCTACAGTGTGTTTTCTAACTAAAATCGCATGTGGAATATTCCAATGCAGCACGAGCCTACATTAATCTACATTCACTAAAAAAATAAGCCGAGTTCCAGCGTTTGAAAATAACAGATGTTTTAGCCATACAAACCATAAGAAGACTGGCATTACATTTCTCAAAAATATTTCCAATATTAAGTACAATTTATAGTATAAAATTGAACCAAGTTTATAACTTTATTTTCATTTATATTCATAATTTTATTTTTATTCGTATTTTTTGAACAACAAATTTTTGACTAAACTGTACATTGTCGTTTTTACCACGTCGTCAATTTAACGATATGGTCATTTCGATATCTAGTCGTTTTGCTACCAAGTCATTGTAAATTATAACCTTTCTGCAGAGATGGTCGTTTTGCGATCTAGTCCTCATGCTGATGAGGTCATTTTGAAGATGTAGTCTATATGATACCGACCCTGATAGTGTTCTGGCTTCCACTCCAGCAGTTGCCTCTCATCATCACTCATTTTGCGTTTGCATTACTCAAGAGTAACAATCAAGTCTATCCAGTGTAGGTCATTGCAATGGTATACATTATTCCAGATAGTCAATCCAGTAATAAAATTGATGGTAGGAGAAGCTACTTGAATGAAAAATAGGACATTAATTTAGTCAGTATTTTTGTTGTCACTTTCCTGGAATGAGTGAATGAAGGAATGAATGGAACAGTGTAAATACACAGTACGGTAACATTAACTATCTAGTCTGCTGGAATAGACTTAGCTTAAACTATAAATAGTATTCCTATGTTGTTCAGACAAAAGCATGCAGAAACTTGTAGCTTTCTGTTACAGTTGTCAAGGCATCATAAATTATAAAAGTGAAAGCAAAAAAGACTATTAAAATGAATAATCACAGATCACGCTTATAAAAAAGGGCACACGTAAAAAGGTATGTTAAAACTGATTCGGATTATTGCGTATTCCACAACTCTAAGTTGACATAATGAACACTTTCACTAGATAAATTATCCATTATTTCTCATGTCATTATTAAAAAAAAAAGTAAAAGTTACAAAAGTTTTCTTAGAGTTGAACAATATCAAATTAACCACTAACAGCTAAAGAAATAACAATCCGTCATTTCGAATAGAACAGCAATAATTTAGTTAGTACTTCAGACTTTACAAGTAAACATTGCACATTTATCGTTGTTAAAATTGCACTTTTTCCCTAAAAGATGATAAACTTAAACTGATTCAATCTCCCACGAAAAAAATATATAAAAACACTTGTGCTAATTCGAACAATTAATAAATGAGCAAAATTGTTTTATTTATTCTGAAAAAGCTTGTTGCTCGCTATTCTACCATTAACCGTAGTTTGTAGTTATTCAAATTGTACAAAATATTGCTGAGTCCAATTGAAAGCTTCCCTTGAAAAGTAAAACAGGACAAAACTCTAAGCATTAAAAAATAAAAATGTAATATCATTAAGTGTATATACATATTTACATCTTAATTTAAAACTTTCAGGGCATACTATGCTATAACGCAAGAGAACTATGTTGTTTAGAAAATTTTGAAACATTAAAATATGAAGGTAGTTGGTAAAACACACTTCTTCAAGCATAATTACACTATAAAGTAGGAATCAGGATCAACAAGAATCTACACAAAAGAATTTACCTAATGGACAACAAGTTTCAAGAGCTTCATACAGTTGAGTGCGGCAACTGAACACAACACACACTGAACAAGTTCACTTTGAAGTACCCTGGTGCTCTAGTAACTAACATTATGACTTTGTTAGAATGTCACTTCACGATTTGGTCAGCTGCACAACTCAAATACAACGACGATAGCGAGCCACTCGACTGTACACAACTCCAGACCAAAGAAGAGCAAGCGAGACAGCAGCAGGAGCATGTAAGCTCGCAGGCCAGTGAAGAAGCCTTGTGGAGGTTGTGTTTTTACTGGTCTGTAGGTGCTCGCTTCACGCGGCATGTCGGTCAGCTAGCCAGATACAGGCTCGACTGTTACCCCATCTGCTGTAAGGCCTTGCTTCTGGCACCACTCGACGAAGTCATCTATTAGCACTGGCCAAGCGCCCTCGGCGTCGTAATTGCTCATGCCGTCGTCGATTTGCGTCGCGAAGTCAAGAAGCAGGTTCCATGTGTCTTTGGGTATAGATCTTTTATGATGCTCCTGAAATAAAAAGCTTGTAGTCAGAAATTTATAATGCTTTAGAATATAATTTGCAAATTCCAAAGCATACTTCCTGAAGGCAGTGTCAGCATCTGAATAACAATCTAATTTGTTGTCTTATATAGAAAGAAGAATATGTGGAATACATATGTGCTTCTTTACATTTCATATAATACCTAGTGTGTTATTTTTTGATCATGACTTTCTTATCTTTAGTAATGACCCCGGTAACTATAAAAATTTGAACAATGTAATTTACAATTTCATTGTGATATGGTATTTTTTTGTTCTACATAATTAGTTGTATGATTATTGAGAATAATAATTGTCAGTGTTTCTGATTTCCATAAAAAAAGGGCATCAGTTACCTACTTTGGGATCTGAGCAACATTTGTGATATTGTCTAATATGTAGAATTTCAATTAGGCAATATCACAAACTAATAATATTATAAATGCGAATGTACTGTTACGTTTTCATGCCTAAACAGCTGAACCAAATTTCATGAATTTTGGTATAGAGATTGTTGAGACCTAGGAGCAGAACATAGGCTACTATTTGTCACAAAAATAAATCTTTAAGGTTGTGTAATAGGGAACTATGGTTTCTACTGAAATCATTTCTCAAGTAAATAGTACATTAGGCTACTCAAAGTACTTATTCTATGCAGACAAAGTATAAATACCAAAGTGAGAAATATTGTACAGTAAACCGCACATCAAGCTATACATATATACTTTTCTTCAAATATCGCCCCTCCAGTGCAACAAAACAAGTCAATGTTTAGCTTGACGTGCTGCTGTCTGCACAGTACAACCTTTTTATATATTCTTTTGTTAATATTCTATTCCAACATTTGTCTTTAATTGACTATATAGTCAACAAATACATTTAAAAATCTACAACGTGCCAATACCATATATTTGGGACAGATGCCAATAATTTCAACAATCATCACTATCATATTAATGTGCAGTTGGCTGCACGAGCTATTCTGCTCATGCTTTTCTGTCTGTGACTCCTTAGCCACACAAGGATCCTTATCCTGAGTTCGCTGGAAGGATCACAATTAGACATCCGAAACAAATGTAGCGGAAAAAACACGCTTACTCACACTTCAATTTTGTAGCTCATTACAATAATATGCGTTATTAGTACATATGGTGTCTGCAAATCAATTTAGTGTAAAGTTACACACATCATTTTGAATGCTTTTATCCGGTTATCCTAGCCATAAACTTTATACCCATACATCTTCAAAAACTTGCAAATGATAGGTGAATGCGAATGCCATCTTAAAGAAGTACTACATATATTATATAATCAATTTGATATTATTTAAGATTGTTATGTTAAATTAATGTAACGATGAACTTATTAAATAAAATAAATAAATAAATAATGCACACACTCATAGCCCCTCACTAGGAAAACCTTGTGTCGCTGGTGCCATGTACACAATAAACAACCACAAATTACACGCGAACTCACAAGGGAAATAAATATAGGTCATATAAATATTTCTCCTGGCCAGGAATCGAAACCGGGACCTCTACGTGGCAGACCAGTATGATAACCGTTCAGCCATAGTGGCAGTTTGCTTTCAAGATTACTTCTCCTTTAAATGCTATGGCTCTATTGAAATAATCAATGATTTCATGAATGTCAAGGAAAAATGACTATATATTGTAGTAATATATAAATAACATAAAAATTGTGGCGGACAACTCCATTAGCAAGTGCGGTGCCTCTTGCAAACTCCTACATTTTATCTAAAATTGATAATCAATTTATGCATAATTACATTACATTTATATGAGCTTTTTTTATATAGTCTTATTTTTAATAAAGCTTTTAGTAAAACTTGAGTGTTAATGTCGGCCTTGTGATATCAATCCCTGTGGATTATATTATTCTATTACATTGTGTCGCCTCATAGTGAGAGAAAAGACCTCAGATATGAGTATAGTTTTAGCTCTCTTCGCCAACAGTGCACCCAACACAACATTTAACTAACATAACATTTAACTCCTCCCCCATTTAATTGCCAAATATCCCCTAATTGAAATTGGCTTCTTAGATCCTCATATTGACATTTAATAATAACGCAACACACTCATAGCCCCACACTAAGGAAACCCTGTGTCGCGGGTGCCATGGACACACATATAGACAACCACAAATGACATCCAAACTCGTGAGAGAAATAAATGTAGGCCATACACATACTTCTTCCGGCCTGGGAATCGAACCCAGGACCTCTGCATGGCAGCCAGCATGGTAACCGTTCAGCCACAGAGTCAGTTTAATAAACATAATGGCCACATTCCATTAAATGTAGCATATCTTCAAGTTTGTTACATTTAATGGAATGTGTTGAGTATTCGAGCTTATAACTACTTAATTTTTGTCAGTCATGACTAGACATCGGATTATATGCATTTGCATGTTTGCATATGCAAACGCATATAATGCTATTTTTATAGCGTTATTGCATATTTTGGTACTTTTTCATTGACAGTGCTTATTTTAGTATTTATACGTGTTAGACGTGTTGTACTACGCCGCTGTCCCCACACCACACATCAACACATCGCCCTCGCACGCACTGCGAGAGCGCATTGAGAGCGATCCGCGAGCGGAGGTACTCGACTCGCTATTCGCATTTATCAACGGCACCGGACAAATTCTGCCTGAAGAGGTCTCGGCAGAAATGGCGCCAAATTTTAAGTTCTTTCCGGTAACGTCAGTTGACGTTGAAAGGTCATTTTCAGCATATAAATTAGTTTTAAGTGACAAACGTCACAAATTTGCGCCAGAAAACCTTGAAAAATATGTTATTGTATATTGTAGAAATAAAGTTAATTCTAATAATGGTTTTTTGATTGTGCATATTTTGTGCATATTTCGCCCTTTTTTAGTGCATATTTGCATGCATATTTTGGCATTTTGATAGTGCATATAATCCGATGTCTAGTCATGACACAATAAACATCTCAAGGATTGCAGTGTCTGACTATGCATGTATCTGATGAGTGAATATGAAATAAATAAAATGGCAAACTAGCTACTACATTCAATGTAAATCGTTAAATATGGCTAGGGTTGCCTTATAGATTCATTCCCACTCAATAACTACTATAGAATGTGCATAACAGATTTGTTGCTCATGTAAGCATTATGGTATTGTTTAATTGCATACATACCGTAAGAAATTTGCACCATGCATCCAAAAACTTAAACCTCCCACGTAGTACAATATTCCAATAAGCTATCGCCATATCCAATTCCAAGCCTTTCTGGCCAGGATTTTTTGCATAATTAAACGTGAAATGATAAAAATCCTTAAACTTGTTAGTGTCTTTGATTTCCATTTCCAAAGTGGGCAGTTTCGCCTTTAATTTGTCTATACTATCTGCTCCTAGTTCAATCATCCCAGTCATGAACTCGTCTTTAGAAAACTCACATTGTACTGCTGCCTTACACTTCCACGCGATTATTAGAACTAAAATAGATTCTGGGCTTAAATTTAAATCTTCGAGGAACTTCATAACACCGTCCACTGTTATTTTGTCGTTTTCCTGCTGATCTCTGTACTTGCTGAACAACTGTTCTAACTTCTTTCTATCCACTGATGCCTTTATAGTGTCCTTATAGTAAGCATCAGGATTTTGAAAATAATTATCACTTGCGAGGTCTAGTTTCCAATCGTTTTGTGACAAACAGTATATGGCTGTACTCTCACTGGTCTGCGTGAAAGCGACGAATTTCTTCACTTTGTCTCTCTGTGACGATTTTAATTTATTCTGTAACGAAAACGCAGTAATGTCAATCATAACCTTAGATAATCAAAATTATGTTGTTATCACTTTTTGTACTCAATAATGTAATTTGAGCTGTTAATGTGCGGTGCTAATAAGTGGTTTTGAAAATATTTACTCACCATTTTGATAGGATTATTTGTTATTTTTCTAGTAATGACTTTCACTGTATTTCGACATCGGAACCAAAGTGAAATAACAACCATAAACAATTTGCTGGTATTCCAACTTTATATTTTTTTTACCAGTAATTTGTATTTATTGACAGTCTTTAACAACAACATATTTAAAAAATGTTTGGCGTCTTAGAATAATTTATATGTTATATAACGTAATCGTAATAATTATGTTACTAAATTGTTTACAGATTTTGCAGTCAGCGAATGTTAAACGAGCGCGGGTTTATCATCAAGGTATTAATAAACGTCCTTGCTTACGAGTATATCTATTTTTTCTGGCAACATTTTACAAATCCCATAGGCAAAAGAAAGTTCTGTTACGTTTAGTAACATTGATGAATCTTAATAAATATAATTTCAAAAAAAAATATTATAAAAATTTTATACAGTTTTCACACAAGTAAATTTTTAGTTTTCAGTGTAAACGTTTAGAGTTTTTAATTATCATCAATTTAAACTGGTGGTTCTATTTAACAATGTTCAATGAATAAATAATATTTATTTTAGAAACTCGGAATCATGATTTTACTTAACGATGTTGATTGTTTCTAACAATATAATAATAAATAATACAATTGGTTTCAGTCATTAATTATAAATGATTATAATTAGATATGTGATATGTGATTTCTCAAATATTTTTAAACGATACTTTATCTGTCAAATTCATGAAACAGCTGATCGTGTAGATAGACAACCTATAAAATTATAAATCATTGGAATAACCAAAACACTACCTATACACATAAATACCGCAGTCATATTTCGCACTAATTTTGTATATGTGCATCTTAAAGTGTTATAATATAAACAATGTGGAGTTTAGTCATAAAACATGTAATTTACTCACCAAAGGAAACCGCATACCGGACTATAAAGTCTATCGCTCCTAGAGTGAGATTTGCGCCTAGTCCTACAGGATATTTACATTTAGGAGGCTTGAGAACTGCTTTATACAATTACCTGTTCGCCAAATCGGAAAATGGAACATTCATATTGAGAATTGAAGATACAGATCAGTCTAGAAAAGTAGAGGGCTCTGTGCTAGCTTTGATTAGAGACTTGGAGTGGGCAGGAGTGGAATGCAAGGAGGGACCTAACGTTGGCGGAAAATATGGCCCTTATGTGCAGAGCGAGAGATTACCTATTTATCAGTAAGTTAAATATTCCTTCCTTATTATGTTGTTAACAGATTACAGTGCTTCTATTTTCTCAATGTCCCTCGGCGATGATCGGATTTCCGAATGCACACAAATATTAATGTCCATGCCCGTAAATTAGATTAAAAATGTATAATAATATGAATTTTAAACGACATACTTTATTGTTTTGATTTCTGTATGTGAACTATTTTTTTTTTCTTAATTATTGGCTTTTGAGGCTAACTACTCTCACAACTCATTTATTAAGAAAAAAAAAGAAATTAAGCTCTCATCGTCATGGAGGGTGTGTTACACAATATGTAGACAACTTTGTTTAGTGACTCTGAGGGAGTATCGAAAGAGATTTTCGCCTGAATTGATTCCTAGAACAAAAGAGACGGCACAAATTAAACAACACAAGCTGTAAAACTATTCCCTACTTTTAGTAACATTTACTCCATGTGAATGTAAAGTAAATAAAGTGTGCTTCTTTTATATAACTAAGAATGAATATTTTTCCAGTTATTAATAATTTCAATTCAGTCTGTATCTGAATGCATTTCTTCAGCAGACAGCTATGTTAGTATTGTACGCTATCAAAGGAATAATCACTTTCCCCACTGTTCAAATAGTTATCGGCTTCTTGTAAAAAATACAAGTACACGTTGTAAATTATCTGTCATGCATGTGACTTTAGTGGCTCTCCTCCCATTGTATAATAAATAAAAATGTAATAGCAACTCTATACAGGGTGTAACGGTTAAGTGTGCCTAGGCGATTATTCCATAAATATAAGAGATATCAAAAAGCTTTAAACTGAAATCGAAAGTACGTTACCTAATTAGTAAATCTACATCAATAACTTTTTAAAAATAAAACTAAAAATATCCAAAATTTTATCATTAAACATTCCCATAGATTTAATATGACTTTTTTAGAGAGGCTTTACCTTTGCTACTGTAAGAGGTAACAATAAGTTAACAGATAACAAATGTGCTCTAAATAAAGTAATTAAACTATCTTTTAATTGAATAAAAATATATTGCCATATTCAATTATTTGGTCAAGTGTGAATAATCCATAAAAATTCATGAAATTGATCAAATTTTTTTTACTGCTGTACAACTCAGTTTCTTGTAAGGATCATTTGATTGTATGGGAACAAAAAAATCAAGACAGCAGAAGTGGGTCAAATTTAATAAAAAGTTTTTTTTCAATGCAAATTAATAATTTTAAATTAGATCAACTTCTACTGCCCCGATTCTTTTTATCCAATACAATAAAATAATTCTTGTAAGAAACTGAGTCTATCAACCATTGACCTACCAAGAAATAGACATCGGATCTAATACAAAAACCACAAAAAAATGTCCAAAGTTAATCTATACAAACGTACTGACATGTAATGAAATATAAAAAAAACAAAACATTTCATCTAAATTACAATTTATCGTCATTGCAGTACTGCCTAATTTTGCTTGCAACAATTTAAGCCCCAAAAACACCATATTCAGCTACTACTGGAAACTTAACAAAATGCACCATATTTAGCTTCGAATGAAAATTACTTGAACACAAGAGTAATGGAGTAGCCTTTGGAGTAGCCTCGTAAATATTAATTAATTTTTATATATATTATCAAGTCGAATTTTGTATAAATCCACTTAAAGATATAATAAAGAGTTGAGCAGATACATACATACAAATATTACTACAATAAATGTGAAAATAAGCGTGTACTATAAGAAATGTTACGCTTTCGAGTAATTTTGATGCTTTTCACAAAGAAAATTAGCTTTTGTTTTGTACTCTTCCTAAAAAAATACATTTGACATTATGAAAATTCGAGCTAACGTTATTTCGGGCAAATGTATTTTCTGACTTCTGATAGGTAATTCCAAGCCTTAAAATGAGTACAACAATATTTTGTTAATTATTGCTAACGTTTATTAAAAAAAATATTTTAAAAATAACATTAAAATCCATTGACCTACCAATAAATGGACGTCGGGTTCGCGCTAAAAAGTTTCCGCACCTGTAGGGCGTTAAAATCGCAAACAGAGCGTCAATCGCGCAACAGTCTTCGTTTGTTCGACTGACAGCGCGGTTGTCAATCATGTAGTACTAATAGTAATAACTTGTAAAAATTACTGCAGTAAAGTGTAAAAACAGGATTTTGTATCATATTTTCACTAAACGAATATATTGTATTATCATAGTTATCATTTAAAAGTGTTATTTTGTACAGTTTTATAGTATTTAATTTATATATAAATGAATCGTAAATATAAATGACAAAAGCACACAAAATAATCAAATAGCTAACTGTCCTTTTTCTACACATTGCATGCGCAAAAGATGGAAAAAGACCCATTACGTCAGTTTCAAGAAGCTTATATAAACTTCTTGGTCATTTTCAATTGTTCGAACCACAAGCGATTGAAGTATTTAGAACAAAGAAACTATAGAGTCGCTTTGATTTTAATCTTATTTTTAAAATGATTTTTTTTATTAAACGTTAGCATTAACTAACAAAATATTGTTGTACTCGTTTACGGCCTGGGATTACCTATCAGAAGTCAGAAAATACATTTGCCCGAAATAACATTAGCTCGAATTTTCATAACGTCAAATGTATTTTTTTTAGGAAGATTACAAAACTAAAGTTAATAATTTTGGCTTTGTGAAAAGCATCAAAGTTACTCTAAAGCGTAACGGTTTTGTTACAAATCAGTTTTCAGAATTACGGATATTTGAGTTTACATTGAGTTGGAATATCGGTATATTTCTTATAGTACACGCTTATTTTTACATTAGTAGTAATATTTAGTTAATATTATAATCCTTAAGTGAGTTTGTACAAAATTCGACATAATAATATATATAAAAATTAATTAATATTTACGAGAAAGGCTTCTCCATTACTCTTATATTCAAGTATTTTTTAGTCGAAGCTAAATATGGTGTATTTTGTTAAGTTTCCAGTAGAAGCTGAATATGGTGTTTTTGAGCCCTTAAATTGTTGGAAGCAAAATTAGGCAGTACTGCAATGACCTTACAATTTAAATTAAATGTTTTAACTTTTTATATTTTGTTACATGTCACTACGTTGGTATAGGTTAACTTCGGACATTTTTTTCGTGGTTTTTGTATTAGACCCGATGTTAAATAAATAATAAATAACGCACACACTCAACATAGCCCCGCACTAGGGAAACCCTGTGTCGCGGGTGCCATGGACATACATATAGACAACCACAAATTACACCCAAACTCACGAGAGAAATAAATGTAGGCCATACAAACATTTCTCCCGGCCCGGGAATCGAACCTGGGACCTCTGCGTGGCAGTCCGGCATGGTAACCGTTCGGCCACGGAGGCAGTTGTTGGTAGTTGTTGGTGTTCATTTATTGGTAGGTCAATGTCAAAATCAAAGCGACTATACAGTTTCTTTGTTCTAACTATTTCAATCGTTTGTGGTTCGAACAATTGAAAATGACCAAGATGTTTATATAAGCTTTTTGAAACTGACGTAATAGGTCTCTTTCCATCTTCTGCGCATGCAATGAGTAGAAAAAGGACAGTTAGCTATTTCATTATTTCGTGTGCTTTTGTAATTTATTTTTACGATTCAGTTATATATAAATTAAATACTATAAAACTGTACAAAATAACACTTTTAAATGAGAACTATGATAACACTCAATCCTGTTTTTACACTTTATTGCAGTAATTTATACAAGTTATTATTATTCGTACTGCATGATTGACAACCACGCTGTCAGTCGAACAAACGAAGACTGTTGAGCGATTGACGCTCTGTATGCGATTTTAACGCCCTACAGGTGCGGACAATTTTTAGCGCGAACCCGACGTCCATTTATTGGTAGGCCAATGCTATCAATATTAAAAAAAATTAGTCAATCTTCTGTTAACTTATTGTTACCTCTTGCTCTTATAGTTGGAAAACGAAAGCCTAACTACGACTGTCATATTAAATGTACGGGAGCTATTAGGGTCCTAAGAGACGTGAAATAAAAGTGAACTGTATTTGCAATAGGACTGGTATAATCGCCGTCACAATTACACATGGATTTAGTTTATAGAAATAAATGTATAAGGTCAACCGTCGTCGCCTATCGCTCACGTGGACGGTCGATAATCGCAAATGTGTAGACGAGGAAAGTTTTTTATATTTTTTCGATAATCGTATCTTCGAGACGAGAAACTCTCCATCTAAATGGGCCTTAAGGCGGGTGCCCCTGCGCCGCTGGCGCTCGCCGTGACGTCACGCTAGCCGTGTCGTCCTCCCCCGCGTCTCGTGCCGAGCGGGTATAAGACCGGTTCGCAACATGAGCGTTTAAGGTTAAAATTTTGGATATTTCTGGTTTTTTTTTTTAATTATTGATGTCGATTTATTCATTAGGTAATGTACGTTCGGTATCAGATGAAAGCTTTTTGATATCTCTTATGTTTATTGAAAAATTGCCTGGGCACACTTAATGATTACACCCTGTATACTTCCAAGTCGACTGAAAGCGTCCAGTCTGTACCAAAGGCAAAGGGCAATTGAATGAAACCCGACGACACACAGCCGAAACACGAAGTGTGCCGAGGGACATTGAGAAAATAGAAACACTGTATTATATGTTTTATATGTATATGTACAAATGATATAGCGTTAATTTAAAATACGAAAATTTGCTATGAACCCGCATCATTCATATAAATGCAACAAAACATCTGTGTAATTATATAATGAATGTCACAGTTTTATCTCTAATAGTTATGGTTTTTTGGTGACTTTTGGTGTGGCTGTTGAGAATGAAAATAGTTGCCGGCGCATGGAGGATGTAAATTCCAAATCTTGTGGTCCACAATCTTTTTACCAAAAAATAAACCAGAAAGTTCTTCAATCTTTTCAGAGACCATATAACAAAGCTTCTAGATAATGGTTCAGCATATCGCTGTTTCTGCACAGAACGTCGTCTGAACATCCTCAGACGAGACGCTATCAAGGCACAGAGAGTGCCCAAATACGATAACCGATGTAGATTTTTAAGTGATCAAGATATTAAAGATAAGATAAAGGCTGGAACACCTTATTGTGTTCGGTTTAAGGTTTGTATTTTACTAATCACTTTGTTATATTTATGCGTAATGGTAACACACATTTCTCTAATTGCCTATGAAATAGAGAATATTGTGATTTTTGCACTTTTTAGTGTCTGTGTTATTTTTCGTTATGTCTGCATATAATTTTTTGAGATATCTTAAAAAACCATAACCCAGTTTTAGAATACTGAATTTGTTTAATGATATTTCAGCTATGCATCGTTAGGGTAAGTTCCGACAAGTCGAACACTTTAACTAATTTTAACGGTCTTTAAAAGATAATTTTGTACTCTATTTTTTTCTATTTATAACGGATATTTGACTATTTGTGACTTAGCCACGTTAGTTAGTGGACGGCAGATACCATTTAGTTACAGTTACAAAGTAATACGAGTTGATTAAGTTGTTTCTTTTTAAATTATATAATAAAATAGCTGTCTCTGTGACCGAACGGTTACCGAAATGCCACGCAGAGTACATAACATTATTACACATTAACATGTATAAATTGTTTCAAATTATTCCATTTTCATATTTCCCAAAAAACTGTAAGTTATCATGGGTGCTCAATACTTTTGGCCAAGGCTGTAGTTACTTGTTTGATTGCGATTGAAATTTTCGATTTACCAATCGATTACAAAAACTTTAATTAAATGAATGGAATGTTTTTTTTCGTACAGCACTATGCAACCATAGACAAGTCATAGATCGTCAACTGCCTCGGTGGCTGAACAGTTACTATGACTGCCACGCAGAGGTCCCAGGTTCGATTCCCGGGCCGGGAGAAATATTTGTGTGGCCTACATTTATTTCTCTCGTGAGTTTGGGTGTAATTTGTGGTTGTCTATGTGTGTGTCCATAGCACCCGCGACACAGGGTTGCCTTGATGCGAGGCTATGTTGAGTGTGTGCGTTATTATTCTTATTGTTAATTGATCTTTAGTCTACCCAGAGGTAACGTGACCATACGTCCTGCTTTGAGCGGGACAGTCCCACTTTATGTCCCGGTATCCCCAAAATAATTAACAATGGCTTTGATAAAACGGGGCACACATGACAGTAATTAAAAAAACGCTGGAAAAATACATGCTTCTTTTGAAATTTTTTTATCATTAAACATTTCGTTACTATTAATTATAAATCATTAAACATTATTAATTCTTTTTAATCATTAAATGCTTGAGCATTTCGTAACCATTAAATGTAAACATGCTTGTTTTATTTTTAAAACAATAGTTTTACAGGCGTCGCGCTCTGTGGGAAAAAATATGGTCAAGTTACACCTATAGGGTTGACGATTAAACGTCTGTTATGAACTGATGATGAATCTTTGACACTTTTTTGCCCAGTTAACCTCAGACTGCATGTCATTCGAAGACCTAATCTATGGAGGTATAGCCTACGACGTTTCCCTGAACGAAGGAGACCCAGTTTTAATGAAAAGTGATGGTTACCCGACATATCATTTCGCCAATGTGGTTGATGATCATCTTATGAAGATAACACATGTTTTAAGAGGAGTTGAGTGGCAGATATCCACTACTAAACATTTGCTTATTTATAAGTAAGTTCGTCAGCATTTAACCTAACTACTGTCGTAACTAAAAAATTATGAAATTGAGAAAGCACGATTTGAAAGTTAAAAAAAATTACTAAAAGGACCTAATAACGGGTTCTTAGGTTTTCGCGATTGTTACACATAAGAAATGAAACTATTTTTCCGGATTTAAATCGCGTATATTTGTTTTTTCAAACAAACCTGTGGTTTGGTTTTGGTGGTGTGGTTTGTTTGAAAAAACAAATGTACGCGATTTAAATCCGGAAAAATAGTTTCATTTCCTATAGGACCTAATAAGTTTAGAATATTGTTTATAAGTGGATAACTAATTATGTATCAATGAAAATAATCCTATGATTCGCAATAAGAAACATTCAGTATTTTATTAATTTTCAAATTGTGTTTTCTGAATTCCACAATTTTTGAGTTACGATAGTATTTGTTTTCTTGTGCGATATATTGAAACGATAGCATATTATGTGAAAAGCGGAACGGCAAAGAGACTAAGCGACACTTCAGGGTCTTACCTTCAATGGCTTTGGTTGATCGCACCTTCAATAATAAAAGTGAGTAATTCGAAATTTGTAGGACAGTGACAAAATAAATTTTAAAATATAAATAAAGGCAAAAGTATATCGTTTTTCATATCAAATACAATTTTGTCTTATTTGACACCAGCCAAAGGCTGCTCCACGTAAAAACTTTATTTTCATGTCTATTGTTATAGTTTCCCAAAAATAAGTTCTCAAATTACGTCAGTTTATTGTTGAGGGTGCACTCAGAATCAAAACGACATAACTCCTTGATAAACCCCCGAAAGCCCGAATGGTCCAGAACCGTCAATTCCTATCTACTCGTATTTTTCATAGTCGTTGCATTGAAGTTGAAGGTGTGAGGTAGTTTTTAAGGGTGCTGGTGAAATTACTGGCAAATGGGACTTATCAACTTTTGTCTCAGAGTGTCGGGCGCAGTGGCAGTGCCCCTCATATCTTTCCGTTTTAAATCTCTCAGTGGCACTGCAACTGTTATGGACAGGCGTGTAGCTTACCATCAGGCGCACGACTTGTTCGTTCCGTCATTTGATATTGTAAAAAAAAATCGCTAATTTGTGTTGAATTTTACATCATAATCCTTATTTAAACGCAATTCCTTCATTTGCTTAAGAGGAGACGAACCCTGTATGCAATTGAAAATATCAATATCAAGTCAGTTTGCACTACATGCAGATGTAAATATCAATTGCACGCAGTCAATTCGATTGTTTTACAGTCTGATACCAGCTTTATTAACAAGCCGGTATAACAACTAGTAATTACAATTTTGTACTTACACTTAGTTTATACGAGTTCTACGTATGTATAATAAATACTTTGTTAGTTGTACTTTATTTTACGTAAATAGAATTTATTTTCCAGTGCATTTGGTTGGGAACCTCCGCAGTTTGGTCATCTGCCGTTAATAGTGAATTCTGATGGCACGAAACTTAGCAAACGACAGAACGATGTCAAAGTCGAAGAATACAGAAATAAAGGTAACTATAAAATGTTATGTAATGACATACAAGAACACCATCTTTGTCATTATCGTCAACCGTTTTACGTTTTACTGCATGACACCGTTCTCTTGTAAGGAGAAGCCTTAGTCTATGTTACCACACTGGCTTAGGTAATGCGGGACTTTAGACGTTTTCCAAGGGTTCTTTTCATCGAAATAAACGATGATTTCGCCAATGTCAAGTAAAAATGACTATGTGCGGTAGTTTTGTAAAAATATGACTTCTACTTTATAATGATACCACCCCATCAATACCATCGGTAAACCCGCCAATGCCGAGTTGAGGAGCGCACGCGTTTTTAACTCAAAGATTGACTGGCAAATAACGAAAAAATTCACTGAGAAGATAATCTACAACAACAGAGTACATACACAGACTATTACAAAAACAAATTGTTTTTTTTTTAATAGACTTACACAGGTTTCCAAGGATTGTGACTCATTTTCAGATTTTATCTCAATATTTTTTTGTCATTAGTTAGAGATACTATTGCAAATGCCGCCACAGGGATTCGAACCATACTCCCACTGGGCTACTGTCGTTCTTAAGATCTACTTTTTTTATAACACTCTCAACGGAACTTTAAAAAAACTTCCTTTGTAGATGTCGCCAATGAGAGTTTTTCATTTATTTGTTTCGCCTTTCTACAGTGTTAGTTTCTATAGTGTATATGGATTGTCTAAGTTTTTTTTTTAATAATATCTAGTGACGGGACGGACAAGTTGTGTGTTTGGTGGTAAGCTACACGCCTGTCCATAACAGTTGCAGTGCCACTCAAGAGCTTTAAATCGCAGAGGTGTGAGGGGCACTGCCACTGCGCCCGTCACCCTGAGACAAATTGACAAGTCCCATATGCCTGTAATTTTACTAGCACCTCTTCAAAACCGGAACGTATTAATGCTCACATTTAGTACTAGCCTGGACGAGCTCTTTCACAAGGAGGTCTACAGCTGCTATAAAGCTATAAATGTTGTTAAAAAATATTGTTTATTGTTCGTTTGTTTTAAGCTCGTGTTCGATTTGTCTGAAACTCTAGGTGGAAACCTGTAATCGGCTTTATGTTTCTTTTCCAGTTTTTATCAAATGGTAGCTGTTGGTTTTCCATGAATTAATAAATCAACAATGAGATGAGAGAAAATTGGGAATGGTTTGTTTCCTAAGTTGATGGAACTGGTTCTTTTTTTTATGATTCAACTTTAGAACATCAATTTCATAGTATAAGACTTAAGAGTCCATTTGTGGCACTGCAACTGTTATGGACAGGCGTGTAGCTTCACATCAGGCGCACGACTTATCCGTCCCGTCACTTGATATTATACAAAAAAAGAAAGAAATTAACTTACACAAATATAACAACCCAATACCTGCGCCAACTGTCAAAAATTATTCAATAAAATTAAATAGAATGTCCGCGAGTTTACGCTTTAGCGCATCAACATTACAATGGAATATATCAACATCCAGGTCATTATTGTTCAGCAGACTATCCAAGCTCTTGCAAGCACTACATATAAAACTGTTGTCTATAAAATTAGGCCTTGCTAAGGGAACTACAATAGGGTGGTAGTGACTCATAGAACGCGTAGGTAAACGAAATATAATCCAGTAGGTCAAGGCAAAGTGTTTTGGATAATGGCCCCCGCAAGAAATTTCATTGCCCAAAACATGGAAAATAATAATTTGGGTAATATTATTTAATATTTCAGTATAAAATGTATTAATATTCTCTATAAAGTGGTCATAGAATAAAATCGAATTTCAGGTATACTTCCCTTGGCTTTGGTAAATTACATTACGTTAGCCGGAGGGGGATTCGATCACGTACCAGGGGAAGGAGTCCGGCTGAAGACAATGGACGATTTAGCTGATGAAGTGAGTGCAGATAAAGAATGTTTTTATTTCATGTACCGTACTACCGCCGTTAGTTAAAAGGGCGCATGCATTGACTTACAATTATATGGACGTCGGGTCCGCGCTAAAAAGTGTCCGAACTTAATAGGGCGTTAAAATTGTATACAGAGCGTCATTCACGTTTTAGTCTTCGTTTGTTCGACTGACAGCGAAGCAAGCAAAATTAGACAGTACTGCGATGACATTACAATTGAAATTCAACGTTTTAGCTTTTTCATATTCCTTTACATGTCACTACGTTTAAATAGGTTGACTTGGGACATTTTTTTCGTGGTTTTTGTATAAGACCCGTCGTCCATTTATTTGTAAGTCAATGGGCGCATGTGACAAAAACTCAAAACGAAGAAAATAATGTCGAGTTCTTAGGTTTGCGCGATTGTTACACATAGGAAATGAAACTATTTTTGCGGACTGAAATCGCGTATATTTGTTTTTTTTTTCAAACAAACCAACGTTTCAGGTCACGGGTATCTGAGGTGATAAAGTCGTCAACCACATGCTTAAGTAAATGATAATAGTACATACACATTATATATATATCCATTATATGTAAACAGTTTAAATTTAATGTCAATGAATACAGTATGACGATGATGATAAAAAGTAATTAAGTATTTGTGTAATGTTGTCAGTAAAAAAGTATTTTAATTTATAAAAAGTATTTTCAACAAGATCCTTTTTAGCAAGTTTTCATATTTTTTGTGTTCTTTTTCATATTTTATATGGTTGGGTACAGCAATAAATATTTGGATTGCCATATGGGTAGGCCATAATATACGTTATCATTTATTAACAATAATAAATAAGTAATAAAGATTTACATGTTGCACTGTCAGATGTTTATGTAACACTGTTTTTAGATGTTTTCAGTTTTTTATTGTTATACATACCTGTAATGTATGCGCATTCGGGTGAACAATTTAATCATAAAAAAATGAAAAAAGCATCATGCTTTTTTAACATGTTTGTTAACTTCCCGGCGCGGTCCACTACCATTATTTTTGTTTTCGCCCTGTTGATTGCCAGACCAATTCTATCACTTTCAAGCTCTAGTCGATATACCGCTCAAAAGTAAACTAGAGGTGGCTTCAATAATTTGGAACCCTCGAAAGATTACTTACGTACAGCCAAGCTCATAGCTTGGCTGTGATTTAATTCCTACTTTATTTAGTTGTTAAATTATCTATCCAAAATATTGTTTCGTAACTTTTCGATGTCGAATTACATCCGTACACAGAACAGTTTGTGTGCACTATTATATACGCGTACTACGATTTTCGTAGAGTTCGTTGAACGTATTTCATAATATTTCAAATCTCGCACGCGTGTAGGTACCTGTAATCCTTGATCCCACAAACTAAGCGCGTTTGTCGGATGCGGACCGCAGCGCCCGCTTCCCCGTGTATACCCCACCTTTGCTCTGCGCAAGTACATTTGTTGCGCAACCGTTTGTAATACTGTGACCGTAGGCTGTACACAGCCAAATTTATTTTGTTACCAATTTTCGTAAATTTCTTAACCCTATAGAATAACTACGAAATGTTCGGATCAAATTATACATTTATGTTCTACAGTTCCAGATTGACAAAATATCATCAAATCCATCACGTCTGAATCCTGACCTCTTAGAAGAATGCAATAGATTAGAAATCAAACGTCAACTGAAAAACCCAGAACTATCAGTACAATTAGTAAGAAAACTTCAAAGTCTGATATTAGAGACGTATCCAGATCAAAAATTCAACGTTACAGAAGATCACGTTAAAACTGTACTTAATTGGGCGGTATCGAGAATATCAAGATTAGAAGAATTAGTGACAAATAAATTTGGTTTCCTATGGATTTTGCCGACAAATGAAGATATCGAGTTGGATAAAGAATTATTACACAAATTGATTAATAATCTACAAAGATTAGAAACGTTTGATGAGACCTCTATAAAGGATAATTTAAAATTGTTTTCTAAAGAGAACAATGTGAAGTTTCCAGAGCTAATGAAAATGTTGAGGGCAGTTTTGAGTGGTCTCAATGAGGGACCTGGTGTAGCTGAAATGATGCATTTGCTAGGTAAAGATCAAGCGTTGACTAGAATAAAGTCGGTTGCACGATGATTTTGTAGTTTTATTCAGACTGAACAAGTCCACCGTCCTTGTTATGTAAAATCATCGAGTATATAACCAGAAATAGAGACGAAATGTCATTTAAATTGTTTAAAAACTATTCTGCCTTAAAAACATTATGGTGACAACTGCGCTCCGATTGGCATTGGACATGGACACACACATAGACAACCACAAGTTATACTGAAACGAGAGAAATAAATGTAGGCCATACACATATTTCTCCCGGCCTGGGAATCGAACCCAGGACCTCTGCATGGCAGTCCGGCATGGTATCCGTTCGGCTACGGAGGCAGTTATAGGTGTTGTCAATTGTTTCACTTCACATCTACCAGTTTAACTTGAGTTTTGCTATAATGGACGAAAGTTACAAAATTAAATATTTAATTACCGATGAAATGTGATTCAGTTTGTTTCGTAATTAGACGTTTTGCTGTTTTTCCCACACCACCGAATGGAACAGGCTCATTGTTAACGATATTGTCTTTAATACATTAAATACAGAATATTTTTGGAATATACGGAGACGTACGTATAGGTCAGTTGTTGGCGCTGTACCATTTCAGTGTTCTAATTTGTGATTTCAGCGCAAACGATAATTGATATTTAAAAGTGAATTTATTGTAATAAAGATAATATCTCTAACAATGGGCTGTTCCGTTCGGTGGTATGGGAAAAAGGGCAAAACATCTAAAAACGGCATCATATTTCATCAGTAATTAAATATGTAATTTTTAAATTTTCGTCCATCATAGCAAGGCTCAAGTTAAACTGGTCGATTTGAAGGTCTTAAAATGCCAAATGTCACTGACAAGACAGGCCATTCCTCCTCCTGATGCACGAACTAATGTCCAGTGGTCGTCAAGTGGACGTCATTCGGCTAAAATAATTATTATAATGAAGCATTGACTTATTGTAAGTCAATGTAATGAAGCGTAATTTTGAGAATCGGGCATTTAGTTAATCTGACATTCTTTGCATCTGACATTCTGCCCGTTTGGCATTTTGCGTTTCTGGCATAATGCGTCAAAACGCTCTATTTCTGGTTATATACTCGAGGACTTGAAAGTTCTATGGACTCTTCCAGGTACAGTCAAGAGCACGGCAAGCTTGACACTTTGTACGTTGGACCGTTCTTATCGTAAGCGGCATAGAGTTGGATTTAAATCTTAAGTGTTAAGCTTGACGTGCTCTTCTTGCCTCTGTACCTACGCTAATATAGGTATCAGTTCGACAGAACTAATGGGAATCGTAAAGAACAAATAGAAAGAAATATACCAGTAGTTCTGTCAACAGAACTAGAGGAAGTACAGGAAATCCCTTCGCGATCATGCTCCATGCAATGTAAACAGAGCCTTACAATGTGGTTTCTTTTCATATATGTATACTATTACCTACTACCTAACAGTAATAAAAATAAAAAAAATACTTTTTTCGTAGACCATACGTCAATCAATAGGGTACTTAGTAAACTTTGTTATATCCTTGGATAGGTAAGTATTAATTCTAGATAACCCAATTACTTACTTGTTTAAATTCTAGTTAGAGGTAGTGGGCCTTGGGTAAAGCAAGCCTAAATAATGGGCATTGAAAAAAAAAGTTCTTTTCCTATGCTATCGTTTTGTTATTAAACATTCTATATCGAATGCAGTAGACACGGGCAAAGAATTTGGCTACAGCCTAGGTGGAGCAAGACGTAACGCACTTTTTTTCCATCTTCTAAGAGCGCACCGCATCTCAATGTACAAATAATTAGAACTTTTTATAAAAAGAAATCGACCTCTTCTTCTTTTAAATTTTATGGCCCCATCGAAGTAATCGATGATTTCGCCAATATCGAGTTGAGGAACGCACGCGTTTTAATTTAAAAATTGACCGGTGAATTTCGATAGAATTCTATGAGAGATGAATTTACAAAAATCAACCTCAAAAGTTCGTGGAATTATACTCCGTCCAACCATTTAAAAAGTTCGTCTTTTGATAGCTCGAATTCTAGTCAAATTGTGATGTCCAAATGCGTTTCAGACTCGATTTTTTATGACGATTTAATTTATGAAGAAGTTTTGATCGTGAATGTGAGCGGATTCAAAAAAAAAATTGTCAGATTCGGATCGTGGCATTGCGTTTGAAAATTTGTGTAATCAAGAATTATTAATTAAGGTTTATGTACATTCAAGTGATAGTGATTCCCGTTCATAATGGAGACCAATCCGACGATTCATTTTATTAAACAATAAGAATTTATTACAATTATTTATAATTTATTAGACAGGTACCAAAATTAATCAACTTGAATAATCTTCGCTAATAATCAGCGGACTCAATAAATATAAATGGTTGGACGGAGTATACCATCTATTTCCCAAGTTTTATTGAAATCGGTTACCGTAAAGTGTGGGAAACCTAAACCGAAAACTTAAGAAGAAAGTGACAAGTATTAACAGAGAACATCTTACACCGCCAAAATGCATTAAAATCAAAAGTTGGATGAATGACAAAATATACCACCTTAAGAAACAAAAAAGGTAATTGAAGCAGACTGACAGTGCAAATTAAATAGGATTTTTTTTAAAGTTTAAGCAATTTGTAGCTTTCACATGCAAACAATGCATAATAATACAAATAGTACAACCTTGATAGCCTAACGGTTTGCAATGTGGGCAATGGATGAGAAGTTCCCGGGTTCGATACCGGTAGGATCAATTTATCAAATTAACTTTTCTAAATGGTTCTGGTCTTGGTATTCTATTGTAAGACAATCACCTGGTCTGAAACTAGGGAACTCTTTATACATACTCCCCATGAGTATCAGAGCAACAGAATGCCAGAGCAGAACCAATTTACAAAAGATCATTTCCCAAATTGGTTCTAATGGGAATCGAACCTGGGACCAAGAACGATGGAATTTATTCCGGGGCATAACTCAGAACACCCAGGCCAAAACAACTTTCGAAAAGTTTTCACAGTTATGAATAGTTGATTGAGTTGATTTTATACGATTTAAAAAAATAATAAAAAAAATTCTCGATTATCGACGAGAATTCTCGAAATTCAAGAAAAAAGTCACACCCTAGCTCGTAATAAATGGCATTGTATAAAATTGAACATTTACGTATAAAATTTATTTATAAATAATAAAGGCTACTCCATTATACCTGTGTTCAAGTAGTTTTTACTAGAAGCTACATATGGTGCATTTTGGTAAGTTTCCAGTAGAAGCTGAATATGGTGTTTTTTTGCGCCTTTCAATTGTTACAAGCAAAATTAGGCAGTACTGCAATGACATTACAATTTAAATTCAACGTTTTAGCTTTTTCATATTCCTTTACATGTCCCTACGTTTAAATAGGTTGACTTGGGATATTTTTTTCGTGGTTTTTGTATTAGACCCGTCGTCCATTTATTTGTAAGTCAATGATATTATCACATTATCTTAAACTATCACTCAATGCGCATGATGTCATACTTCAATTGTAAAGTTTGTTTTCAATCTTAATGCTTAGGGTGCGTTCAAATTAGCCGCTGTTAGAAGCGCTGCAGCCGCGCGGCGGCCGCGCGATTGTCGCGCTGCTGAAGTGCGACCAAATGTTTAGTGATGTTTTATTATGTTTGTCGTGGGGTCACAGTAACTTATGGTGCAGCCCGGTTACGGTACAAAGGAAATTACAATACTCCTATCATAATCTAGGTGACGAAGGCATGAATGAATACCGTTACGTAACAGTCTGGTTTCAATGCATCACGTACTTATGTGGGAGAGCACATGTCTATGTCAAAGTTAAAACCCAAGGTAGGAAAGGTGTGAAAACGGAGGAGCTCTTGGGCAGTCAAAAGCTTTGCTAGAGAGTTTCAATAAAATATAAGGAATAAGTAGATTTTTATAATTGGACATTCAGACCGTTAACCTTAACACTACTCCATCCCTTCACCTTCTTCTTCGTCGAACTCCCCTTCCTCCTCAGCTGTCGCGTCCTGATACTGCTGGTACTCTGATATTATGTCGTTTAGGTTGCTCTCTGCTTCTGTAAACTCCATCTCGTCCATACCTTCGGCTGTATACCAATGAAGGAAACCTTTCCGCCTGAACATGGTCACGAATTGTTCCGCTATCCTCTTAAATACAAGTTGAATAGCAGTTGTGTTACCTATGAAAGTAGACGCCATTTTGAGTCCTCG